AATTAATCATCGTCAGTTCGCGTCAACCTGTACTGACGGAGTGCACCTCGTTTTGGCGAACGGAATAGGCTTGTTAGAAGACGACCTAACTTTCAAATGCACAAGTGTGGCTCAGGGCGCCCCTCATTCCTTCCATTTTGAGCGGCCTGAAATCGAGGGTCCTGTGATAACGCGGTTTGTCTTTGAGGATTAAATTTGTACTATTTGCCACCATTCGGTATATGATAGATTTGGAGTAGTGCTTGAACACAGGTCTGCTCGAGTCTGAGCCATACCCAGTTCCTCCCACCGTCCACCCTCCAGCCCCTATCTTCATGCAGGAACCGACCGGCGCTAGTAGCGTGATAGATACCCTTAATTTGGCCCCAAAAGGTGTTTCGGATCATCATCCGGGACAGACTGGTGCCACTCAGTGATCTATCTGCACCACGGCATTGCTTGGGGTTGGCATGTCGCCCAGGCAGTTGCGACATAACCCCAGCAATCGCATCATAATTAGTCTTCTTCAGTTTTCGACAACCGGTGCTGACCTTGTGCATTTCATCTCTATGTGGCTCAGGGCGCCCCTCTTTAGCTCATTCCTTCCATTTTGAGCGGCCTGCAATAGAGGGTCCTGTGATAACGCGGTTTGTCTTTGAGGATTAAATGTGCACTTTCTGCCACCATTCAGTCTATGATAGGTTCGGAGTAGTGTTTGAACATAGGCCTACTCGACTCCGAGCCCAACCTATTTCCTCCCACAGAAAGGATCGGCTTAAGGCCCCACCAAACATCTGTTGCAGGCAAAGAATACCTACTATCCTTTTTTAATTGGGTTTTAGTCTGACACTATTATTTTGGTTTGGTGTTTCATCGTACAAGGTTGGGTCGTCTACTGTAGGCGGTCTGGTGCATTATCTACAATTACCTCAGCTCAGTGACTTAAGAAGCGATCGCTGTAAAAACTCGATGTTTATTTTTTTGATTGTCCTGCTTAATGTCGGCTGCTATATGTCAATGCATTAAACCTTCCCGCCCAAAAAACAAATGCACCAATTATCTATACGTGTTTTGCCATTCCTCTATGCATACATAGGCCCCGCCCGTAAAACCCCTATCACCACGTTTTCCCGTATGACTGGTTGTGTGTGTGTGTGTGTTTGGGGTCCTTTACCCGATTGTTGCCCCTCCCACCGTCCACCCCCAGCCCCCATCTTCCAACAGGAACCGACCGGCGGTAGTAGCGTGATCGATACCTTGAATTTGGCCTCACCGGTGTTGCGGATCATCATCCGGCGTATATTTGTGCTACGCAGTGATTTATCTGCACCCCGGCATCGGGTGGGGTGCCAAGTAGCCCTGGTAGTTACGGCAGAACCCCAGCAATCACACCGTAATTAGTCTTCTTCAGTTCTCGTCAACCTGCGCCGACCTTGTGCATTTCGTCCCGATGAGCAGAATGTGCTCGCTTGAAAGCGACCTTACTTGACAATTTAAAGGCGTCAAATCACGGCACTGCATCGCAGTTCATTCCCTTCCTTTTATTGAGCCGGAGTCAGAGACCTGACTGCCATCCTGCGGTAGCCGATGGACTCGAAGTAGTGTTTGAGCCTAAGCCTGTTCGACTTTGAGCCCCAACCTGCTGCTCCTTTCCATATGCCTACAGGAACTTGTCGGCCTATGTCTGCTGCTGGCAAACATCCGACCTCCGCCACTCGCATCACGTTTTCATCGGCAGCGATGGGAGTGGCAAAAAAATCACCGCTGACACTTCATATATGACTAGGTAAAGAGACTGGGTGGAATATTCTGCGAAAACCGTGAAGAAAAAAATACGTAAGCGAAACATAATGGAGAGCATTGACTAACCGTCGTACAATTGAGGCCAACGAGGGCTTCAGTAGATTTTCTGCCTTTCAACTCAAGGTATCACCGTTTCCAGATAAGCAAGCGTCGTCGTCCGTTAATCAGTTGACTCGTGATAACAATGGAAGGCTAAGGAGAAATTGAAGTGGAAATACTAACTTGGAGGAAGTGATGACGACTGTTCAAACGACAGTGTGCGAAAATGGCGCGTCGTTGTTGAGGTTCTGGACGCCAATCAACATGGATGGCTGCCCATGCTGCGTATCTAATGACGACGACGCTTGCGAACCGCGAGTCAAAGCGGACTATGCGACTGAATGCAATCAACTTCTTTCTATCTGAATTCGCGCGCGCACTGTGGTTTACAGTCCACTCCCGATAGTCGCAGAGATCAAGCACCACAGCTATCCGCGAACAGCTAAAATCTTTGAATAACTGAGACGCATCTGAAGACGCTCGTAACTGATTATTTTTATGTTAAAATGCCAAAGATAACTTACAGTCTCATTATATATCATTGTTGCGTTATATAAGTGGGATCTTACAACATTGCCCTTATGAATAAATGACTTGCGGCCACGCGAGAACGCACCTGCAGTTGTTACTATTACCAAGGCAAAAACTAATCAACTTACCCTTATGTTCACTTTTCAAGAGTATTCAAGCCTTACCGTTTTCGTATGAAATTTGACCTTCGTTGCCGACGATGCCCACCGTGTGCTCCGCTGCAAGGTGAGGGCAGGTACGGTGACATGCGAGTGAATCAGTTTGAAGTGATAGTAGACTTGCGCCACGTCTACCGCACTCTCTCTCCCATTCCTCCTCCTCCTCCTCCTCCTCCTCCTCCTCATCCTCCTCCTCCTCATCCTCCTTCTCCTCCTCCTCTGCCTCAATATTATCCCGTTCCCCACCCTCACACTCCTCCTCCACCAACTCTATCACCTCGTCTCTAAATTGGAATCATCGAAGTTTTGCTGATTCTTCTCTGTTGATTTTCTCAAAGGCTGCGAGCATGTGTGCTCGGGCGTGTGGATTCTCGATCTACTTTTTTTGGTCTGCAACCGATCGATTGATTCTCGCTGCACTTACAGTTAGAGGTAACCAAATGAGTGGGTTTACGCTTGCATGAAGTGGGCCTTCGACGAAAATGCTCCTTACACACTCATCGACTCAATATGAGAATAATCGGCGTTGATTGCCGACGCCGCTAAATTCGTGCTTAAACCCTAACTCGGTTGTGCGGCGGCGATAGGTCATATTGTGCAGGGTGTAGATGAGTTCTTTTTCGGGGCCAGAGAATGTGTTCAAACTCATTTGCAAACGGTATAATACTCCTTTTCCATGTGAGTACTCTTTCTGAAAGACTGTGCGTGGGGGGGATTGGGGTCGATGTGCAAGAGTGTAACCCTTACTATGACGCAATTCACCTATTTGCTACAAGTGTTTCCTCATTGCACCTGTGGCTACAATCCTACTCGATGGTGAACTAAGGAAGGCACAGGCGTCCTTTATTGCGCTGTCTATCAAATGACTAGGATTCTGGTCAGCAGACGACGTGCAGGATCCCGAAATTCATCATCTTCGCGGAATTTCAGACATCCGCGAACTCGATGCTTGACCAGGACATTGGTCGACGGGAAATACCTTCTCTGGCTCAACCTTCCTTAGGCAACATGTTGCTTGAAGAGACGCGCCTGAACATTTCTTGTAGTATTTAATCCAAAGAGGTGGTCGTATTCGAGGACACGGTCTAGCGTTCAGTTCCTGACCTACCATAAGAAAAGCTGCGAACTCTGCACTAAAACCCCTGTAGCGCATGAACCACCTACACCCCATTCTCCAGAATTAAACTGTGTTGCAGAAATGCCTGAACTTCAAAAGAAAGCATACTTCGATTCATGCAATATTATTTATTGTCTAAGCGGTTCAGACTAAAGTCAACAGATTTTGGCGATGGTAGACTGGGATTGTTTGCGTCACCTCACGCAGGCTGGGGGATCCCGGCAGTCAGTGAGTAAATTAGACGTATTTCGTAACTCCTTCTAGCTCATTTATACCGATCTCCAAAGGACTTCCCGCTTATTTAATTCACGACTGTGGAACTTTTAATGTCTCGGCCAATCGACCTTCACATATTTGGCTCCAAAAGGCGGTTAGGTTAGAACGGTGATGGCACCTTGATGGAGCGAGTTAGCCGCTAATTAATGAAGGCCAGTGCGGACCCAGTGCGCATTTTACCCAAAGAACAGAAGCATATGCTGCGTTAAAATAAATTTGCCTTTATTAATCTCTGTACATTTAAACTTTGACGTAGTGTCGAACACAAGAGACGTCGCACACTGTCAGAGTCTGCAAAATGAAAAACAAAGCGATTTCTGAATGAGTTCGCATCTGGGGGAAATTTACGCAAGACAAAACACTGAGAACATGCTGACTAAACGGGAGTCAAAATCGCATTAACTACAGGCATGAAGTGAATACAAAGAGCCTAAACGTACTCCTGCCAAATATTCACTTGAGACTTCTGATCGTTCTTTTTTCACGACCGTCGTAATAGCAAAATAGCCGCATGTACATTTCTCAACCAAATTCTAGGACTTCAAATATCGCCAATTGCAAGCTTTGTGAATTGTGAATTTCCAAGGACAATCGTATTTCCCCAAGTCTACGCCCCAAGCATTTCCAAATCGACAGGCTCGCACAAAAGGCCTTATTGGGTGGCCCTGTTCATCTGTAAGTCACCACTATGGTGCTTTTAACAATCTCCAGCAAGTAGCTACCGCGGTGCCGGCTGCAATTCTCCCTTCACCCATTGACGACAGCCCAGCGAAACTTAGGTGAATGCACTGCGGATGACACTGGCCTGGTAAGAGGGTTTGCTCCGACAGCTTACTGAGCAGCGTGTATACTCCGTCACCTCAGTTCAACTTCTCCATCTAGGTCTATGTCCTGCCTTCGGGCTTCGGCATCCTCGATATTTTCCCTAATGACACGAGGACAGTTCTGCAAAATCGGTGCTGGTGCTGTTAGGGACAGTCGACGCATCTGCATTGGAATCCCTTCAGCTACATAAATGGTGTAGAAACACTCTATAGGTCCAACTGTGGATTTCAGGACTTCGTCCTGATATTATGTCCCTCGTGAACTCTTAACGGCATTTTACGAGAGCAAAGTTGTGCATGATTAGGGCATCCTCGTATCATTTTCACGAAAAGGCAAACTGACTGGTTTTGACTCACCATTGTTAAATTATTACCATCGACAACGCTCTCAATGAGCATTGTTCTCTCCCCTTCCTGAGTAATTGTCAACTTGTTGCCCTCCAGTGTAATAGTCATCTACAAAGTATGTGAACACAAAATTATCGTTTATTTTGAATTGGTTCAGTCACCTCACAGATTTACTGTCAAACTTGACCGCCAAAATAATTGTGATGATACGCTCTGAAGATCATATGTATGTATTGCCATATATAAACGTATGCATTAACTCAGGAAGGGACGCAAACAGATCCATTGGCTTCCCCACGCAAACAGGTTTCGCATGGGTTATGAATGGCTAGGTGAACGCAAAAGAGTCCGAATTTACTTCCAACGTATTTCCTCTCCACTCTGACTTATGCACATGCATATTAATTAAGTACGTATGGTTTAATTGTTCCACGAAAGTGAATACAAACCAGTTTACACTTTGAACTGCGACTCTCGCCAGAGTTTCACAGTCAGGTGTTAGAAAATCTGAATGCAGGGAACTGGCTGTCCAGTTGCTCTGGTCGAGATTAGTGGAAAGATTTTGCCTAGAGAACTGGCAAATTAAATAGCACCAAGAGATGTCTCAATAAAAACACGTATGAAATATGAATGAAAGCTACGTCAGAATCTTGCCTTAATGGGTCGACCATCCATTGTAGTGTGTTGAAATTTCTCACCCAGCTTGAACGTTGTGTCGCGAGTCATAGGGCCCATTCTTACTTGCATGTTGTACTGGTCGGCGGCGACACCTGGGGAGAATGCCAGGCTCGAATCCGACATTTGGGCCAATTTCTCCTTGGGTATTTCCGCACCCATGCGTCTAGCTAACACACCCACGTCATCACTGCTTTCCAATTTCCACGAACCATAGAAGGCTTCCATACTGGAGTAGCTTCAACGGAGACGGACAGTACGACGTCCTGCATGGCATGCTATTCAACTGCTCAATATATAGCCAAATGGGCCTGCAGCGACAGAGGGTGTGCGCTGCTTGCACGCTGATCGCGAGTGATTTTGCGTCCTTGAATCTGGCGTCACCGACGTTGTGGATCGTCATCCGGGATATATCGGTGTCACGCAGTGATCTGTCTGCACAGTCACATTGAGGCCGCCAGTAGCCCCGGCAGGTGCGACAAAAAGCCAGCAGTCACAGCACAATTAGTCTGCATCAGTCCGTGTCAACCTGTACTGACCTTGTGCATTCCATATCAGTGAGCACGTTGTGCGGGTATGAAAACAATCTTGCTTGACAGGTGGCACGTGTTGGCTCACGGAGCTACTTCACAACTCATTCCCTTCTTCTTCTTCATTCATAAAATCGATCTGGGATACGGTGGCTCCCTCCTCCTTCCTCTCTGTGTACAGGAACTGACCGGCCGATGTAGACTGCTGGCGAACTTCCGACCTCTGCCACCCCAATCACCTTTTCATCGTCAACCATGTCTTCTTTCTATTTGATACTCGAAGGAAGGAAATGACTCAGTTTTTAAAAAGATTTAATTGTCCGATTTTAATACCGTGAAACAGGCAAGGACAGTCACGTCCTTTTCGGGGTTGGCGCGGATACATCACGAGGCCTCGGGTCTTCCAGACTGCTCGCGGTATGACGGGGGCCTGTGCGGATTCGGATATGAGCTCGGGGGTCGGTTGGCCTTTTCAAATCTTCAGGAGACGAAACTCCTCCGAAAAGTTGGCAGCATGTTCACGAACAATGGCCTCATTTTCCTGAGAGGATGAGACAGGAGTCCGTTAAGAAAAAGGCAAAGGAAACAGAAGAACTCTCGCCAGTTCGTTGAAGTCAACGTCGTAGGCATCACAGCAGACCATGAAATCCCGGCAAAAATGCCGAACTTCAAAAAAGCGACTTCGCTTCAATCTCCCCGTGTTTGACCAGGTGTATAAATGCGGTTTCAAACAGACCTGCTACAGTTACTTGTTCGGAAAGGTAGTAAACCTGTTTGGCGTAAGGAAAAGAAGAAACCTATGGGGAAGTAATGAGAAAAACGTATGCCTCTCGAAGTTTTTCCGTTAAAACAAACTAACTTCTACTTCTTATTCGTCATTCATCAAATGGCTCTGGGATACCGTGGCTTCCCTTTGAGGATGGCCTGCACACTTTATACCTGATCTTCCTCCTCCTCCCCCTCCTCCTCCTCCTCCTCCTTCCTCTTTGTGTACAGGAACTGACCGGCCGATGTGGGCTGCTGGCCAACCTCCGGTCTATGCCACTTTGATCACGTTTTCATAGTCAGCGATGGATGTGGAAGGCAAATCCATATCTTCTTTCAATTTCATACTCGAAGGAATGGAATGATTCGGTTTTAAAATAGTCTTTAATTGTCCGATTTTAATACCGTAAAATAGGCAGCCTGTTCACGAACAACGGCCTCATTCTCAAGAGAAGGTGAAACAGGAGTCAGTTAAGAAACAGGCAAAGGAAACAAATGAACTCTCGCCAGTTCGTTGAACGCAACGTCGTAGACATGATAACAGACCATGAAAGTTCGGTAAAAATGTCAAACTTCGAGGAAACGACTTCGCGTCAATCTCCCCCTGGTTGACCATGTGTATAAATGCGGTTTCAAACGGACCAGCTGAAGTTATTTGACCGGAAGGGTAGAAAACCTGTTTGGCGTAACGAAAAGAAGCAACCTATGGGGAATTAATGAGTAAAACGCATGCCCCTCGAAATAGCTATTTCCAGTCTCTCTGATTAAACACACCAACTACATGAACCTCGGGGCAGTGAAAGGATGATGTTTAAGACGACGGTTGCTAAATGCATGGCCAGCTGAAACTCCCGAAGCGTTGATGGATACCTGAAAAAGTTCCAATCAAGAGTTCAAAGCTACTTAACAAGCATGGGACATAATCTTCATACATCCAGACCAGCTGGCCACTGCCTCTACGTGCTGCCAAAACAAGTCACCTGGAAAAATGTTCCGTGGTGTTCGTGTCGGATTAAAAAACAACATACAGCCCAGTTTGATGCCCCCTCAGTTCACCGACAGTTCGACCGTCGTTACCAACTACAGTAGGTGGGCTAACTCATTAAATGTCGGCCGAAATTTCGAAATGCGTTCTCGTTTCGAAAATATTAATTAAGTAGGGTTGTAAAATTAATCACCTTCCAGCACGATTCTATAATGATCCAGTTACCTCAGGGTGCCTTCATTCGAATGGATTTATTTCCGTAAATGACTACTTATGTGGTATGCAATTTTCTCATTTATTTCCGATGACCTTGAAAATTCAATTATATTTCATGAAAATCATGCACAGAAATGTTCATTCTTCTATTTTTTTGGTAGAAAATCGCGTCTTCTTTCAATTTTAGCCTCGAAGAAAGAGTATAATACGGTTTCAAAAAAGTTTTTAATTGTGAGATTTTTTGATACCGTGAAAGGACCGTTCATAAAACGTCATGTATCTGTATTTACTCGTATTTCTTGCAATGTTAACCGTAAGACTCAAATCTACTGCTAAATCCTATGAACCCCATATGTTCTCCTTTTAATATCGTAGAGAAACATATGGCTTTCGTATGCCGAAAATATACGGCTTGTAGTTTGGAAACCCTGACTGCAAGCGGAATGGTAGGTCGAGTTCAAAATTATTCGGGAATTGGAAATGTTTTTAAATACCGAATTAAACCCTTTCTTCGAGTTTAAAGTTGAAAGAAGACGTGCTTTGCTACCGAATGAGAAAAAAGTATGAATATATTTATGCATGCCTTCCATGATGTATAATTGGCTGTTTAATGTCATCGAAAATCAATGAGAAAAATGCGCGCTAAATAAGAAGTCATTTTGTACAGAGTGTTGTTCCTTCATGCAGCCGAAAACAAGTTTGCTTGAAAGCCGGCATCCTGAGGTAGCTGAACTGTGATAGAATTATGCTGCATGATGTTTGGTTATACAACACTACTTACGTCATCTTTTAGAAACGAACACGCATTTCGGGATTTCCGTTGACATTTTATGAGTTAGCCCACATATCTGCAACACTCGTTAAAGAGACTGGGTGAAACATGTCGCACAAACAGTGAAGACAAGTAAAGATGTTAGCGAAACATGATGGAGAACACTGATTAACCGTCGGACAATTAGTGCGGACGGGGGCTTCAGTAGGACTCCTTCCTTTCAGGTTAAGCTGCTACCGGGATGACACAGAATGGTCCTGTTAACCAGGAACTACCCGATCAGACTATCAGCTCACCAATCAGCCTCCCCAAGACACAAGACCGACTGAGAGATCTGATTTATCTCGTCAGTAGACTGCTATTCAAGCCACGACGATTTACGCGTCATGAAGGATTGATGCGCCTTAGAATTATGATATTGTTAAATGCGATAGCGTACCGTGAGGATGGGGTCCCTATTCATCTAACAATCGATTGTCCGAACCGGTTTACAAAATAATTTTGAAATAGAGCGCAAGTCACTGATAGAGCATGCCTCCTCTTTCCCGACCCCAACAAAATTCACACGATTTTACAGAATGGGTGTGGTGGGCTCAGTGAGAATGCCATGGAGGCCACACGAAGTAGGGACCATAAAATACTTGAGGGACGCCTATTCCGTGTATGCGGGGGTGGGGTGAAATGGATCCGCGCGTAATATATGAACTGGTGGAGAGATGTGTCGTGATGCTACTTGGTCTGATTTTATTTACTGGTGAGATGCCACTTGGTCTGCTGTGATTTACTGCAAATGGAAATTTTTGGCAAGCGACGCCTTGCGGTTGAGGACGCCAACCAGCATGGATGGCTAACATGCTGCCTATCTATCGACGCCGAAGTTTGCGAACCGCGAGTCAAAGTATAATATAAAATGGTACGTACTTCAGTTCATTCTCTCGACGAATTTGCGCGCGAACTGTTGTATACAATCAACCCCCCCCCCCCCACCGTATGTCGCGGAGGTTAATTACCACAGATATCCGTAAATAGCCAAACATCCTGACTTACTGGGACGCGTCTAAAAACGCTCCTAACGAGTCATTTCAATGTTCTGGTGCTTAATTGAAAACGAACTAACTTTAAAATGCACGAGTGTTGCTAAGGGCATCCCTCTTTAGCTCATTCCTTCCATTTTGATCGGCCTGCGATCGAGGGTCCTGTGATGACGCGGTTTGTCTTTGAGGATTAAATTTGTACAGTTTGCCACCATTCGGTATATAATAGGTTTGGAGTAGTGCTTGAAGGTAGGCCTGCTCGAGTCTGAGCCATACCCAGTTCCTCCAGCCGTCCACCCCACAGCCCGCATCTTCATACACGAACTGACCGGCGCTAGTAGCGTGATGGATATCTTGAAGTTGGCGTCAACGGTGTTTTAGATCATCATTCGGGGTATACTGGTGTCACGCAGCGCTCTGTCTGCAGCCCGGCATCCGGTGGGGTTGTCATGTCGCCTAGGCAGTTGCGGGAGAACGCCATAATTAGTCTTCTTCACTTCTTGTCAACCGCTGCCGACCTTGTGCATTTCGTCTCCATGAACAGAATGTGCTAGTTTGAAACCGACCCTACCTGACAATTGACAAGTGTCAGATCATGCACTACTTCGCAGCTCATTCCCTTCCTTTTCAGTGAGCCGGAATTAGAGGCTCTTTGATACCGAGGTTTGCCCCTCTGGATGACCTGACTGGCATTCTGTGGTATCCGATGGACTCGGTGTAGTGTGTGAGTCTAATCCTGCTCGACTTTGAGTCCCACCCTGCTCCTCCTTCCCATCTGCCTGTAGGAACTTATCGGCTGATGTGGGCTGCTGGCGAACCTCCGGCCTCTGCCACCCAGATCACGTTTTTAGCGTCAGCGATGGGCGTGACAGGCAAATCTCCGTTGACTCTTGGTGTATAACTCGGTAAATAAACTGGGTGGAATATGCTGCAAAAGCCGTGAAGATGCAAAACATGCTGCAGAAGATTGACTAACCGTCGTAAAATTTAGGACCACGGAGTTTTTAGCAGACTTCCTGTCTTTCAACTTAAGGTGTTTCCGTTTTCCGGCCCTGACTCTGGCGTCACCGGCGTTGCGGATCGGCATCCAGGGTATATCGATGCCACGCAGTGAACAGTCTGCACCGTAACATTAAGGCGTCAAGTAGCCCAGGCAGGTGCGATAGAAACCCAGCAGTCACATCACAACTAGTCGGCATCAGTCCTTGTCAACCTGTACTGACCTTATGCATTCCGTATCGGTGAGAACGTTGTGCGGGTATGAAAAAGATCTTACTTGGCACTTGACTACTTCGCAGCTCATTCCCTTCTTCTTCTTCTTCATTCATCAAAGGGCTCTGGGATACCGTGGCCTACATTTAAGGATGACCTGTGCGCTTTATGCCTGATCTTCTTCTTCTTCCTCCTCCTCCTCCTCCTTTTCCTTCACATCTGCCTACAGGATGTGGTCGGCCGATGCGGGCTGCTAACGAACCTCCGGCCTCTGCCACCCAGATCACGTTTTCATCGTTAGCGATGGGCGTGACAGGCAAATCCCCGTTGACTCTTCGTGTATAACTAGGTAAAGGGACTGGATGGAATATGCTGCAAAAAGCGTGAATAAAAAAATATGTAAGCGAAACATAATGGAGAACAATGACTATCCGGCTGACAATTTAGCCGGTCGGGGGATTCAGAAGAATTCCAGACTTTCAACTCAAGGTATTACCGTTTCCAGATAAGCAAGCACCGTTGTCCGTTAATCGGTTAAGTCCTGATAAAAAGGCAAGGCGTAGGAGAAATTAAAGTAAAAATAGTAACATCTAGGACATGATGACGACTGTTCAAACGACAGTGTGTGAAAATGGCGTGTTGATGATGAGGTTGTGGAAGCCAATCAGCATGGATCGCTGCCCATGCTGCCTATCTTATGACGCCGAAGCTTGCGAACCGCGAGTCAAAGCGGACTGTTTGACGAAATGCAACCAAGTTCCCCGTCTCTGAATTCGCGCGCCAACTGTGTTCTACAGTCCACTCCCGATAGTCACGGAGTTTAAGGACCACAGCTATCCGCATACACCTGAGATCTGCGAATAACTGCGACGCGTCTAAAAGCGCTCTTAACTGATTATTTTAATGTTCAAATGCCGAATATAACTTAAAGTATCATTCTATATCATTTTTGTATTATGTAACAGGGATCTTACAACATTACTCGTATGAATAATTGGCTTACAGCTACGCGAGATCGCACCTGCAGTTGTTACTATTACCAAGGCAAAAACTAATCAAGGAACCCTTATACTCACTACTCAGGAGTATTCAAGACTTACAGTTTTCGTATGAAATCCTACCGTCGTTGCCGACAATGTCCACCGTATGCTCCACAGCAAGGTGCAGACAGCCACGGTGACTCATGCGTAATTTCTTTCCATTGTGATAATAGACCATCGCAATGTCTACCGCACACTCTCCATCCTTCCTTCTGTCAAGCTTTGGACTGTCATGCGCAACGAGGACGATGAAGCAAATTTACACGCAAACTTAGATCGACTCGAAAAATGGTCAGGCCACTGGCTCCTCCCATTTAATGTTACCAAATGCAACATTGGCAGAACCAGCTCTGCGCACCGACAGACGTACTGTCTTAATCACACACCGCTGCCATTGGTGGAGGTTCAGAAAGACCTAGGGATGTGGATAACATCTTCACTAAAACCATCATTCCACTGCTTGAAATCAGCGAAATCCGCAATATCCAGCTTATATCTCATTAAGCGGGCATTTGCCAAGTTCGACGAGGAGTGCTTTCGCAAGGTCTTTGGGATGTTTGTGCGCCCACAGTTAGAATTTGCAATTCAGGCCTGGAGACCCTGGACTGTTAAGGATCGTACCACCCTCGAAAAAGTCCAAGGACGGGCAACCAAGCTTGTCAGAGGTCATCAAAACCTACCTTACGAAACTTGACTGTCAAATCTTAACTTCTTTTCCCTGGACTACAGACAACTCCGTGGCGACTTAATTCAAACGTTTAAAGTGTTACGGGGTCAGGACTGCTGCCTCGCATCCGGTGACTTCTTTGAGCTGTCCACCACTACAAGCTTGAGAGGACACCCTCTAAAACTACGTGTGACAGGAGCGAGACTGGACGCAAGGGGGTCCTTCTTCAGCCACAGAGTGGTAAAGGCATGGAACGCCCTGCCTGTGGACGTCGTCATGTCCTCATCCGTGGACTCATTTAAGAGAAAGCTTGACCAGTACAGGTATATGCACCACCACAGCATCAGAAACTAACGAATTCCCCCCCTGTGCCACCCGCCCCATCCAACGTTATATGTTACAAAGCATGCTACTCTCTATATTTTAGTAACATTACGTTTTACAATTTTCGCTATCTCCTGACCGCCTCATATGCGCTAGCTTTAATATGACTTGGTCCATTCAGTATCGTACTTGATATTGCACAATTTTGACATAGAAGGCATTCACAGACAAATTCATACCATTGACCAATGCTTGTTGTATGTAATTACTTACCTAATTTTTTTCCCACTTGCCTTACACATTGCTTTTTTATGACGTTATTGTAACCAAAAGGGAGTTCAAAGGCGCTCGCCTAACTTTCCCTTAATAAATCTGATCTGATAAAGAAGGGCGAAGGTGAAGGATGGCACAGTTTGGTGGCACGGCCGGACCCACACCCAGGCGTACTGTGGCAGTTCGCGACCTTCTTCCTCTCCGCCACGTTATCGCACTGCCCTCCTATCCGCCTCACAATCCCTATCGATACGCTGCTAGGACGCCCGAGGCTCGTCACTAGCCTCGCAAGTGCTCGAGGCCAATCAACGCTGCCCCCTCCCTGATTGGCTGGCGGACACCGAGGCAAAGCGAAAGGCGCACACACACGCTGCTGTCAGATCACCTCAGCAGCGAACACAGATACAACTTGCCTGGAGAGACCGCTCAAGGTGACCGCTTGCAGGGCCTTTATGTATGCTCATCCTCAGCATTAACAGTTGTCCAACGCAATCCTTCTTCCTGACTTCGGGTTTGTGAAGCGCTGTCTTGTCGACCATACTATCCCGACAGTACCATCACATCCCCCCCCCCGGGTCAACAAGAAACTTCTTATCAGGTTTTAACTAACAACAGCACACTAGCTTGTCAGAAAGAGGAGGTTATCGCAAGCAACTGGGCGATCGTGCAAACGGCCTGTGGGAGTGTAAGCGCTTCCCTCGACAGGGAACCAGGGGTCAGTGACCTGCCAGCACACAACGGGATGCAAGGACTATGGTTTTCTGACTCATGGCATAGCAGACGCAGGTGGAGGGCACGGTCGAGCTTCCGTCCTCGCCACTTGGTCCACTCACTAGGTGAGCAGGATTTTATCAAGAGCAAAAATGAGGGGCGCAGCAGGGGTCCCAATGCACGCAACGTCTGCCAACAACGGGGTCTGTCACCGCACGAAAGAAATTTTGGCATTTGTTGTGGTGTGCATTCCAATGACGCCTGTTGGAATCCGACATGGTCCCGTGTTGGCCCAGTGCATCTAACAAGTAATCCGTTTGAGTAGCAAGTACGGTAGTTCGACCGTTATTGCCGACGATGTCCACAGTGTGCTCCACTGTAAGGTGAGTGCAGGGACGGTGACTTGCGCGTGAATTAGTTTAAAGTGATAGTACACTTCCCCCACATCTGCCCCAATCCCTCTCCTATTCCTCCTCCTCCTCCACCTCCTCCTCCTCCTCCTCCTCCTTCTCCTCCTCAGCCTCCTCCTCCTCAAAATTTTCCCCTTCCCCATCCTCGTACTCCTCTATTAGTAATTTTTACACATCGTCTCTAAATTGGAATCATGGAAGTTTTGCCGATTCTTCTCTGTTGATTTTCTCAAAGGCTGAGATCATGCGTGCTTGAATGCGGGGATTCTCGATATACACTTTGTGGTCTGCGACCGATTGACTGATTCCCACTGCACTTACAGTGAGAGGTAACCAATTGCGTGGTTTGACGCTTGTATGAAGTGGACCTTCGACGAAAATGCTCCTTACAAACGCATCGATTCAATATGAGAATAATCGGCGCTGATTTCCAGCACCGCTAAATTCGTGTTGAAACCCTAACTCGGTTGTGCGGCGGCGATAGGCTGTATTGTGTAGGGTGTAGATGAGTTCTTTTTCGGGGCCAGAGAATGTGTTCAAACTCATTTCCAAACGGTATAATACTCCTTTTCCATGTGAGTACTCTTTCTGAAAGACTGTGCGTGGGGGGAGTAGGGTCGATGTGCAAGAATGCAACCCTTACTATGACGCAATTCACCTATTTGCTACAAATATTTCCTCATTGCACCTGTGGCTACAATCCTACTCGATGGTGAACTAAGGAATGCACAGTCGTCCTTTATTACTCTGTCTATCAAATGACCAGGAATCTGTTCAGCGGACGGCCTGCAAAATCCCGCAATTCTCCATTTTCGCGGAATTTATAACGTCCGCAAACCCGATGATTGACAAGGACATTGATCGACGAGAAATAACTTCTCCGACTCAACCTTCCTTAGGTTACATATTGCTTGAAGAGACGCGCCAGAACATTCCCTGTAGTATTGAATCCAAGGAGGTGACCGCATTCGAGGACACGGTCTAGCGTTCCGTTCCTGACCTACCATAAGAAAGGCTGCGAACTGTGCATTAAATCCCCTGTAGGGCATGAACCATGTACACCCTATTCTCTAGAATTATAATGCGTTGCAAAAATATCTGACCTCCTAAAGAAAGCATACTTCGGTTCATGCAATAATTTTTATTGCCTAAGCGATTCAGACTAAAGCCAACAGATTTTGTCGGTGGTCGACTGGGATTATTTGCGTCACCTTAAGTAGGCTGGGGGTTCCCGGCAATCAGCAAGTAAATTAGACGTGTTTCCCAAAGCCTTCCAACTCATTTATACCGATCTCCAAAGGATTTCCCGCCTATTTAATGCAGAACTGTTGAAATGCTGATGTTTAGACCATCGAGCTTCACCTAGGCGGCCGCAGAATGCGGTTAAGTTGCTAGTTGAGACGGCGCGTTAACCGCCAAATAATAAAGACTTGTGCTAATCCAGTGCGCATTTCGCCCAAAGAACAGAAACATATGCTCTGGGAAAAAAAATTTGCGTTTTTTAATCTTTGTACATTTAAGCTTTGGTGTAGTGTCGAACACAAGAGACGTCGCCCACTTTCAGAGTCTGTAAAATGAAAAAAAGAGATCTTTGATGAGCTCGGAGCTGATCGAAATTTACGCAAGACAAAACAAAGAGAACATGCTGAATACTCGGGAGTCAAAATCTCATTAAATACGGGAATGAAGTGAGTACATAGAAGGCAAACTTATGCTCGCCAAATTGGCTTTTAAAATATCTGATAGTAAAAGCAGAATTCCAATTCCTGTGCCTTGTATACATTTCTCAATCGGATTCTAGGACTGCAGATATAGCAATTACAAGCTTTGTGAATTGTGAATTTCCAGGGGCAATCGTATTTCCCCAAGTCTACGCCCCATACATTTCCAAATCGAAAGGCCCGCACAGAAGGCATGCGTAGGTAACCTAGCCTGCCTGTAAGTCACCGCTATAGCGCGTGTGACAATCTGCCGCTAGTAGATACCGCGGCGTCGGGACTTCTGATGATTTCGCAGCTGGGTGAAATTGACGCAAGACAGAACACGGCGCGCACAGAAGGCATTTTTGGATAGCCCAGTCAGCCTGCAAGTGACAATCTCCAGTTGGTGGATGCCGCGGCGCAGGGGCGAAATTCTCCCTTCTCTGATTGGCGGCGACCAAACGATACTTAGACGCATGCACTTCGTCTGACACTCGCCTGGTGGGAATACTTGGTGCGACTGCTTGCTAAGCTGCGTGTACACTCCGTCGCCTCAGTGAAATTTGTCTATCCAGTTCTATTTCCTGCCGTTTGATTTGCGAATCATCGGCATTCTCTTAATGGCATGAGAACACTTCCGCGAAATCGGTGCGGATGCTGTTGGAGCCAGTCGGCACATCTGCAGCGGAATCGCGTCAGCTACATATATGGTATAGAAACACTCTATAGGTCTCACTGTTGATTGAAGGTTTTCGTCCTGGTATTACGTCCCTCGTGACCTCTAGACGGCGTTTTACGAGGGGGGAGTTGTGCATTCATACGAAATCCCCCTATCGTCTATCATTTTCACGAAAAGGCAAACTGACTGGTTTAGACTCACCATTGTTAAATTATTACCATCCACAACATTCTCAATGAGCATTACTTTGTCGCCTTCCTGATCAATTGTCAACTTGTTGCCTTCCAGTTTAATAGTCATCTACAAAGGATATGAACACAAAAAATCACCGTCATTTTAACTAATTTATTTTGAATTTGCTCCGTCATCTCAGACAGTTACTTTCAAACTTATCTGCGGAAATATTTGTGATGGTACGCTCTGGGGATCGTATATATATACGGCTTCTATTAGCAATATATATATATATGAGATGGAGCCGACAAAGACCAGGGAGACCGGAATGGCCATTTCTGGCTTATTAGCCGTCATCAGCCAGTCATACCCAACGCCAAGTGTAGATCACTTGAGATTCGAACCCGGGATCTTTGGTCATGGAGTCTGACGCTCTACCATTGAGCCACGGGCCCGTTGTCCTATCGGTTGTGATCTATATCTACCACTAGTCGCTGTGCGACTGCCTGCGAGGGTTCTAGTATGAGCCCCAAGGCACAGCGGAACGAGCATGTTCCGTAACCTGATCGGTGAGCACCCATCTGTCATCATATATATATATATATGCATTAACTCAGGAATGGGCACACACAGATACTTTGACTTCCCGAGGCAAACATGTTTCGCATGAGTTATGAATGACTAGGTGAAAGCGAAAGAATCCAAAGCATTTCTATATGAATTTACTCCCAACATATTTCGTCTCCCCTCTGACATATACATATACGCACATATACATGCATACATATTAACTAAGTACGTATGGTTTAATGGGTTCCTAAAAGTGAGTGCAAACCAGTTCATCCTTTGTACAGCACCTCTCGCCAGAGTTTCATGGTCTGCTGTTATTAAATCCGGATACAGGGAATTGGCTGTCCAACTGCTCTGATCGAGATTAGTGGTGAGAGTTAGCCTAGAGGACTGGCACTCTTAATAGCACTAAGGTTACGTGGAGACTATGTCTCAATAATAACAAGCATAAAATATAAACGAGTACTCAGTCTGAATCTTACCGTAACGGGTCGACCATCGACTGTAGTGTGTTGGAACTTCTCACCCAGCTTGAATGTTGTGTCGCGAGTCGTGGGTCCTATTTTTACTTGCATGATTTGGTGGTCGGCGGCACCTGGGGAGAATGCAAGGGCCGAATTGGACAATTGGGCCAATTTTTCTTTGGGTATTTCGGCACCCAGGCGTTGAGCTAACACACTCACGTCATCACTGCTTTCCAATTTCCACGATCCATAGAAGGCTTGCATGCTGGAGTAGCTTCGACCGAGACGGAGAGTAAGACGTCCTGCATGGCATGCCATTCAGCTGCTCAATATATAGTCAGATGGGCCTGCACCGACAGAGGGTGTGGGCTGCTTGCACGCTGATTGCGAGTGATTTTGCGTCCTTGAATCTGGCGTCACCGGCGTTATGGATCGTCATGCAGGTTATATCGGTGCCACGCCGTGATCAGTCGGCACCGTATCATTGAGGCGGCTAGTAGCCCAGGCAGGTGCGACAGAAACCCAGCAGTCACATTAGTCCTTGTCAACCTGTACTGACCTTATGCATTCCGTATCGGTGAGCACGTTGTGCGGGTGTGAAAACCATCTTACTTGACAATTGACACGTGTTAGCTCCCGGCATTACTTCGCAGCTCATTACCTTCTTCTTCTTCTTCTTCTTCTTCTTCTTCTTCTTCTTCTTTCATTAAAAGGCTCTTAGATACCGTGGCTTGCCTTTGAGGATGACCTGTGCACTTTATGCCTGATCCTCCCCCCCTCCTTCATCTCCTGTTCCTCTTCCTTCTCCTCCTCCTCCTCCTCCTCCTCCTCCTCCTCCTCCTCCTCCTTCCCATCTGCCTACAGGAACTGGTCGGTCGATGTGGGCTGCTGACGAACCTCCGGCCTCTGCCACCCAGATCACGTTTTCATCGTTAGCGATGAGCCTGGCAGGCAAATCCCCGTTGACTCTTGGTGTATAACTCGGTAAAGAGACTGGGTGGAATATGCTGCAGAGCCGTGAAGAAAAAAATAGATGTAAGCGAAACCTGCTTGAGAATATTGATTAACCGTCGGACGGGGGCTTTAGTAGAATGTCGGCCTTTCAAGTTGAGCTGTTACCGGTGTTTCACAAAATATAAGCGGATGGCCGTGTTAACCAGGAGCTACCCGATCTGACTCTCAGCTCACCGACAATAGAAGCTCAGCTCGCCAGTCAGCCTCCCGGGGACACAAGACCGACTGAGAGATCGATTTTATCTCTTCTGTATCAACCGGCACATTGAGTTGGACGCCGCGCACAAAAGTCTGAAGGAGAAGTGGAAGATACGAGAGCCAATCAGAACAGAATGATGCAGATAGCGGCCGCCCACTGGCTCAAGCGCCCAACAATTATCGATTTTCAAGTGCACTGCCAGATGTTAACTGTTGTCGGCACATTTGCTCTCTGTCTGCGTCTGACGACGACCTGGGGAACCAGCGTCGAAAATGCACGCAGTAAAACTCCTTGTCTCAAAGAACACCATTGACTCCAAGTTATATGTATTGGGATGCCTACCTTCCAGTACATATACATATATATACCAGATGTGATATATATATATATATGAGGCAGAATAGCATTACTGACAAAGGCAACGGGCTCGTGGCCCGGTGAGTAGAGGCGTTGACTTCTAAACCAACAGGTCGCGAGTTCGAGGCTCGGGTGTTCCACACTTCGGGCTTGGGTATGGCTGGCTGACGACGGCTAATAAGCCAGAAATGGCCATTCCAGTCTCCCTTGTCTTTGTCGGTAATGCTATTCTGCCTATATATCATGCGCCGCTGTGCGGCTGCTGGCTGGGCTCGAGAGAGAGCCCTTAAGGCACAACGAAACGACTGAGTTCCGTATGAACGATCGGTGAGCACCCCCTAACATTATATATATATATATATATATGAATGACGGAAGTAGTATGCATTCCGAGACGATATAATAAAAGGAGAAGGATCGTCTGAAAATCGAGGTATACTCGTGAATTTTCAAGTCGGTTACACCAACCCGTCGCCAGACGAAATGAAAATTGTGAGGGAGATAATCGCACTAGGGAGCTGGAGGGACATCGAGGTTACATCGACAAAACAGACGTCTATGTGTAGGGGTGAAGTACGTGTTTGGATAGGTGGCGGATGTTAGGGGAATTGTTGACGGTTTCACACATGGTTCACTCTGTGGGGGAGGTGCTGAATCCGTGATATTATACATGGCCGAACACGGATTAGCAGCTGGTGTCTTAGGGTGGGCGCAAACCGGCGGACTATGAACGCAAACCGTCATAGAGAGCAACCAAGTCGACATGGCGGTTGATGCTATTATCATTAGAGTGCCAAGCTTCTTGAAACTCTCCCGCCTGTTTGGTGTTGGCACTACCGATCACTTCTGTTCCCTCCCAGTTGAAGCGATTATCACACCCAAGGGCGTGCACAAACACGAGAGACTAGGGGTCCCGTCAACGGATAGCCAATTTATGTTCGTTAATGCGGGTCCCAAGTCGTCCGCCGGTATGCCCAACATAAACGCTAGAGCAGTTTGCACATGGAATGCGGTAAACGACATTTGTTTGCTGCTCCTTAGGTATGGGATCTTTTACACGGGAGAATGTCGTGCGCAATGAAGACGCCGGTTTGTGGGCGATGGAGATGCCGAACTGATTTAATTGTCGAGCGATCGCTGATACCCTGTCTCCGTTAGAGTCGACGCTTTGTGGTTGTTTCTGGAGTCTGAGACAATGTTTCACAAAACTCACCGAGTATCCGTTCAGTCAGAAAAGGTGATACAAGTAAGCCAGTTCTTTCTTGAGTAAATTGTCACTACTGCAGTAACGGTAGGCCCTGTGGAAAAGGGCTGGGTGCTGGGTGGTTACTCTGATAGCTCAGGATGATCTCTGCATCGGAGCTTTTCCGATGAACGCTTGTTGCGATGCCGCCATCATTGAGCCTTTGTATGCTCACATCTAGGAACAGCAGGATGCCTCCTTTTGTTTCTTCACAAGTTAATTGTAGCGCTGGGAAGCGCCATTCAAGCTCTGATGAAATCGCCAAACTTCACAGGTCTTAACGATGACAAATGTGTCATCTACGTATCCGAGCCACGTTCTCGGTTGGAAACTTTGTACATCTTTTTCTAGTCGTTGTAAGACTAGTTCTGCGAGTAGCCCCGAAATTGGCGAACCCATTGGGGTGCACTTAACCTGTTGGTAATATTTGCCATCGAATTGGCAATAGTTATTGAGGCAGAGCTGAAGCATTTCTAAGACGTGGTGTGTCGGAAGGTCGATGGCATTGTGTCGTAGGCGTCGGACCACGCTCTCAATGGGAAGGTCATGTGGTATTGAGGAAAACAAAGCGACAAGATCAAATGATCGAATGCTTTCATCACAACTTATTTTAAGAATGGCGCCTTCCCAGCGCTACAATTCACTCGTAAAGAAGCAAAAGGAGGCATCCTCCCGTTCCTAGATGTAAGCATACAAAGGCTCAGTGACGGCGACAGGTTTGAAAATTGTAAACAGTACTTAGCAAATTTTGGGGTTCGAGAAAGTCATTATATAAGATTAGAGACTTAGAGTCTCCTTTAACCATTGGCTAAAGGGGGGTGGAAAAGAAGACAAAGGGGAGAGGGAGAAAAATGAGAAAGGTAGACGGAGAGGAAAAGAAGACGAGAGGAGGAGGAGGAGGAGGAGGGGGGACTCCTTAGCGTTTCTACTGCTTGTCCCTTGAGTTTTAAATACTCTTGCCTGCAACGGCAGCCGTTTTCAGTAAATGATACACAATAATATCCATCGATAGGCTTGTGGACAGCAGTCATCTTGCCGACCATCACGGGGATTTTAACTGAACCGATAAGGGCTTTCGTGCACTGATGAGAGAGTTTTCTGGTCCAAGCACGCCGTAATACATCTGCGACAACGAGATAAAAATATGCTCGCACTCCATGTTGCATTTGGCAATTTTGGTGATTAATCATATCATTATGTGCCTGTGGTGACCTATGCTTCCTGAAATATCGGAAGACCATAGTGTATAATAAATCCGTGTTCGCTGATGAGGTTTAAATGCGCCTTTGCAGCTAATCCTGCTGCGATATGGAAACAGTAGGCAACAGTATCTAATGCAGCCCCACTGATCAGATAGGAAGCAAGGATGCCTCTAACCCCTAAACTTAACATCAAAACCTCAACCCAACGCCACCTCACCGCGACGCCCACGAGACTGAGATCAACTTCCATGAGCCCCAACAACTGATCAGTCCGTTGAGTGACGAGGGGGGGGGGGCGCCAAGCATGCTGGCTCGCCAACAATTACGACGGCCGCAAAAGGGGCAAAGGTGACACGAGCCCACCGGCCGTCAATCGCGGAGAGGTCAACGGTAGTCGGCGGCAAACGGGGAGATCATAGTTCGTGCTTTGAGCACGGATATACTACACGGCAGGTAGCAAGGCTGAAGCAATCAAGGCCAGCAGGAACAGCCAACACAGTACTCTGATGATGGAAACGAGAGGGTTTCCGAGCGTCAGTTCAAATATAACTTGGTCTATGAATTCGCCCTTTCTTCTTCTTCTTCGGAGGATGATGGATGCGATATACAGATATATACATCGCGTTCATCATCTCCCGAAGAAGACGAAGACGAAGAGAGGGCGAATTCATGGACCATATTGGATTCGAACTGGCGTTTCGGAAACTTCATCATTTCCATCATCAGAGTAGCGTACTTGCCGCTTACCGGGGCTGACCGGTAACAGGCCTGCGTGACCTTTGTTCTCTTTGGTGTCGGCGTAATTGTAGTCAAATCAACGTGCCGCTTGGCCTCTCCCACGTCAGACGGTGGACTGATCGGTCGTTGTTGTTCAGGTGAGCAGCAATAATGGGTGGTTATTGCAACGCAACTTTTCTATTCCTTCCATATTTTTAAAAGGAACGTCTTTTCCTGGGGGCTCAACGCTTTCATCTGGGGCTAAAACTCTTTTGCACAGGCTCTTGAATGAGGAGTGCGTTTAGGAATCATCGTTGGGAAAGATTTAAAAATATGTCCAAAAATCAGATACGTGACCCAAAGGTACGCAATGTGGCCAGATACACGCAGTGAACTGGAAGGTAAGCGGGCTTCACAGATGGAGTCTCTGTGAACGAAAAAATGAATTCGCAATTTCCGGACCGCGAATAGACGGGAGTCCACAGAGGGTTAGCTGTCATCATGTTTTCTGGCCTAATTGCTGTTTCCACGGAGATTTTAAATACCTGATTAGTGAGTTTTGGTGCCTGAACAGACGCCCCACAAGAAGAAGAGAAAAAGTAGTTGAATAAAGAGCACTTGCAGGATGCCCTAGCTGGCTTGCAAATGGGTTCTGTGGAATGTCCGGCCGGACTTCCTACAATTCCAATAATGGTTTCCAGACGCATGGAGATTGCATAGAACCGACCATTAAACCAGTTATACTAGCAATTTCCACCTATGAGGAACGTTACGCTTGAGTGACCTTCAAATACAAACGTGGGTTTACGGGAGATATGAAAAGGCTTGTGCACCCGCAATTAATATGAAGGTCGCTCACTGCCACCGCACATAGCAGACTGGCAAGTTTGAAAACTTTAGATAGGATTTAGCAAATTTTGGAACTCGGACAAATCATTATATAAAAATTAGGGATCTAGAATCTCATTTTGCCATTGGTTGAAGGGAGGAAGAAAAAAGAAAACTAAGGGGAGAGGGAGAAGGACGAGAAAGGGAAGGCGGAGAGGAGGAGGAGGAGGAGGAGGAGGAGGAGGGAGGGGGAGTCTTTAACACTTCTTGAGCTCTTAACACACCTGCTTGCGGAACTCTAATGTGTCAGTATACAAGAGTAGGGACTTAGAGTCTCAGTTTGCCATTGGCCGGCGGGGAAGTGGAAAAGAGGAAGACGAAGGGAGAGAGGGAAGGCAGGGAGGAAGATAAAGAGGAGGGACTCTGTAACACTTTTATAGTCTGCTTCTTGACCTTTAAACACGCTTTCCTGCAACAGCAGCCGTTTTCAGTAAATGACACGCAATAACATTCGCGGATATCCTTATGGACACCAGTCGCCCTGCCGAGCTTCATATCATAATGCCCTTGAAAACGACTCTTAGTTGAACCGAAGACGGCGTTGATGTGTTAATGCGAGAATTTTCTGGCTTAAGCACGCCGTACCACCTCTACGACAAGAAGACAAAAATAAGCTCACATTCCATGCTGCATCTGCCGGTTTATGTGATGAATCATATCAGAATATGACTGCGGTGCCTTAGGTTTTCTTAAATATCGCATGAACTTAGTGCATATTATAGTCATGTTTTCTGAGGAACCTTGGATGAGCTATTGCAGATAATACTTCTCTATCGAAAACTTGCTGTGATACGAAAATAACAGGCAACAGTATCCTATGCAGACTCACTGAACAAACGGGAAGCACTGACGCCCTTAACACTTAAACTGAACATCGAAATCCTTGACCCTAATATCGATCTCCTAAACGTAACCCTAAAGTTAGCCCAGCCCTAAATATAACACCGACGATAACCCCTAGACCTAACCTCACTCTAAGCCTTAATTCGGACTTTAAACTCTACCTTAGGCTTATCTCCAAGTGTAACCAATAACTTCCGGATTAGACTAGCATTAATGTTGGTGTGCGCAAAATAACTATGAATTATGCCTCCCATCTTTCTTGGCTGTCACCGCGAGGCCGCCGGTAGAGTATTCAGGTCAAAAGTGAGGGTCCTGTTGCATTCTAGAACTGAAACAAATTGATGAAATCCGCGGTCGTGCGGACCATTTGTCGGATATGATCGCTGACTACTGAACCACTTTTTTGATCGGTCAGACTTCTACGTGTCCCCCAAAAATGTGAAATTTTGCCAAATAAAACTGCATATTGACGAACTTGCTCCAGTAAATAGAGGTGGAGAGGCAGTACACATCGATGTGTTACAAGTACACTGGTATGTACACGTTTTTACACAAATTTCCAATGGCGTTTGATGCTGGGCAGAAATGAAACCATATCCATCAAACCATGATTTTTAATTTCCACCTGCTTTCCAATATGAATTAATGTTGGCTCCACCGCGCTAGAAATAGTTATCCGCTCTGCGGATCGCAGAAGGAAATTAACCCTCAGCTTAAAAGCCCGTGTTATAACATACCAGCCGTGGAGAAACTATGCCTGCCCTTCTTCTTCTTCTTGTAAATTCAGCCAAGCGATACCGTGGAAATTTGACAAACCCAAAAAGGCAGAAGCAATGGGTATTACACGTAGGTTAAGAAAAATGGGTTGGAAAATCATGCCTGGCCTCCTTCTAAGGAAATGCCGCTAACGTCGGCAGCGCGTATCTCACGCCTCAATCTTGCAGTCACCCCATATGAGCACAGCCTGTCGAAGTGCAGCAGTACACTTGTCGGTGCGTGTGTAGGCCGCGCGAAAAGCACGCCACCGGGGATCGCCTTATTACGCAGTACATGAGTACAAATGATGCGCAATCAGCGATCGCTCCAGCTTGCATCTGGCAGAGGGGACGAACGAGCGTCCCTACGCAGTGCTGACATCAACCTAGTAACACCCTGAAAAGAACGTTTTCGGCACCAAAAATGCCAGCCCAAGAGAAGCTTGATGGTGAATAAATAAGCATCCAATTACCTGGATATTAGTCCTTATTATATGAATATCAAGGCATTCGCCTTTGCACAGCACCGTTCACAACCGTAGTATGCATTAACGTTCTTCACGAATAAAGGCGAAATATCGAGGTCCAGGTTTATGCATAAGTGAAGAAGAGTCAAGCATCGGAACATTGGTGCCGTTACGTAGACGACACGTTCGTCGTCGTAAGGAAGGACATGCTGCAACATTTCCACAGCCTGCCCAACGCAGTCTTCCCTGATATAAAATTCACGAGGGAAGAAGAACAGGAATAGTAGGTGCCCGCCCTGGATGTGCTTGTCAGACGAAACCTTAACGGTGAACTTGAAACGACTGTTTATAGGAAGGCCACGAACACCACACAGCTTCTTAGTTTTCACAGCAACCATGCGGTGGCCCACAAACGAAGCTGTGTGAAAAGGCTTCTCAAACGGATCCAAACTCATCGCAGCAAACCGGAGGACAGAGTAAGTGAGGCCCGTCATCTCCGCGACCAGTTTGTGCAAAATGGTTAGCCGAGGGCATTCATAAGTCGCTGCCTACGCGGTCGTCACCAGAAGACTCGAACATCAACACCACCGACGATATGGCATTGTCTGCCATACATCAAGGGCGTTTCAGAAGCGACCGAGCGCATTGCTGCGGAGCTAGGTGTTGGAATTGCACACCGTCCCAAAGCCACCATGAGCAATAGGGTCATGCAAATCAAAGACGGTTTAAAGCCTGAAGACCAATATGGAGTAGTGTATCGTATTCCGCGTCAAAATTGGCCCTGCAACTACATAGGACAGACTGGACGCATGCTCGGATCGCGCATACACGAACATAAGTTGGCTGTGCGGCAAGGCGACGCATTATCACAAGTGGCCGCACACACCTACAAAATGTGCCACGAGTTTAACATCGCAGCTACCAAAATAGTCGCCCTCGCCGGAAACAAAACCAGCCGAAAATTGATTGAAGCCTGGGCCCCGGATGAGAACTTGGCTAATCGATCTATCGATCCGGCGTTGAGCGTACAGAGCCCTGCGTAGTCACCTCCAGTCTTCCGCCGTCGGTCGATGATTGGCCTATATGCCGTATAACTGTCGTTTGTTCTGTTGCCGAAACTACCTCTGAGGATGGACTCCTGTACGAGTCTGAAAGCTCAGGACAATAAGCAAAGTGTTCCGGTGCTCGACTCTTCTTCACTTATTAACGTTCTTACTTTGCTACTATCTTATCACCTACCAACTGCATGGAAAAGGCACGTAACTGTTCAGTCAACTACTTTACAAGTCCTAAGTGAACGTACCCACCTCTGCCCAATACCGTTACCGGTGACAGATCACCTGCTCCACCTAGAAGTGTTCGTGCGTCCAAGGGCATATCTGACGCGTCGGCTGGCTTCATCCGCCTCAAAATCTTCAGCGGACTTGTCAGGTGCTGGTAGGGTATTTGGAAACGTACTGCCCGTGTTCGCAGTTCGTCGCGTACGGTTACATCCACCTCAATTGAGAAGGCCACCGGACGCTCTTCAAAATAACTTTGCCATGGTTCAGTCATTGAGGTCTATGTGTCCTCCGAAGAGGACGTTGGAGCGTCTCTTGACCGCGTGTAGGTGGATAACCACCTCGACGAGAATGATGATGATGACTTGGGCGTTGAGTTCTCCGACATAATGGCCTGATCCTCATTGAAAAGAAAATGTTAAAACTCAATAGTATGGGTTAACAGAAAAGGTGAAGCACAGGACAGCAATGCCTGCGCTCAGTGGCGTGGCAAGACAGAAGGTGACGTCTAGGTGTGTGCGTGCGAAAACAGGCACGCCGTCACATCGATAAAAATCGATAGCACATGAGCGTACGCATACTAGTGCACACCCCTGGGGAACTTGCTGCTACGACTGCAGCCAACCAATCAAAGGCCAGTCGCTCACGGGACGCGAGCATCGAGTCTCGATTCGCAAGTCATTGCCATTAGAGTAACATAGCAATAACTGTTAGGAGCTTCAGAAAGCAAACTCATCAAGCAAGGTAATGACGCCAGTCTGGGCTAAAAGGCAGCTCCCTGACCGGGAGTCGAACCCGGGCCGCCTGGGTGAGAGCCAGGAATCCTAACCGCTAGACCATCGGGGACGCGCATCAGTTTGCAAATATGTACATTAGTCTTTGGTTTCATACAGCAATGCGTACGCTTTCGTCGTATAGAGTGCATGCCAGCCTCCGTGCGCATAGCCGCACATCTTTGCTAGCGCAAGCTATATAAGTAGGCAATTTGGACAACGAAATTATTTGTTGATGCTGTTTCAGCAATGGCTACCCAGGTGTTATACATAATAACTCTTGTTTTCCCGGTCGTCGCGTATCTTTGCGGAAACTCCGTGGCTCTTTGATTGGACCTGTGTCGCATTCCTTAGATGGTCTATTCGGCCACATGCGCATCCACGAGAGCGGAATCGACTACAATTCCGACACACCAACCACGCCTATCATGCCCAGCACCACCCTCGCACCGTCCATCTGCGCCACCACCAACGCCTCCTCTGTAGCTGATTCTGACACCGCCGACTTCACGTACCCACACTGCCCACGCACATTCACCTCACGCATCGGCCTGGTCGGTCACTTGCGAATCCATCGCACAGAGACCGGAGAACCAGTGCCTGTAGCACCAACCTACACCCACCAAGCTCGTCTCCACTGCCCACACTGTCCTCGCACTTTCAGGCACCGCATGGGCCTATTCGGCCACATGCGCATCCACGACGACCTGCGGTAGACAACCGCCGGTTACACCACACATCCACACACTCCCTACCCTCCTCCACCATCACCAACACACATCAACACTTACCCACCGCATGCACCAACTGCCACCTTCCACGCAAGTGGGAAGTGTGCATCTCGACTCGGTTCCCACGCGGCTTCGGCTGTACGGGTGATTTGAGTCCGAGACTATCCCGACACTTCAAGTGTCGTGGATAGGAAGGTTGCTGATTGATGCCCGCTCTCGGTTCACGCAGTTCGTCGCGTTGTGTGTGTGTGCCGTGGCGGGCTGGTGGGCTGGGAACGGGCTGAAGCAGCACCTTCCACGGCCCTCTCACGCAAGTGAGAGACACGCCGTTCAACCCCCGTTGTGTGAAATCCTGGTGTTTGTGTCTGTATGGGGGGCCAGGTCGTGCTGTGGCGCGCGCAGTCACGGTCAGTCGACAGTGGCAGCCACCGCGCCCATCCACCACTCCAGTTTGCCGACCGGCTCGGACGGCGGCTGGGGTGTGGGAATGGGAAGGGAGAGTGAGGTCGACGACTCAGCGCACTTTTTCCTCATTATAATCAATCTGACGCGCTTGAAGCTATCACGGTGCGCTAAAAGCCGTGGCTTGGAAGGTTGCCAACTGACGGGGTACCTTGGACCTCCTCCTTGACCGGAGGCGGTCTGAGAGTCAGGCTTCAATGGCTCCTTTTTAATGTGGCCTTTATGGCACTCCAACCACAGTGTGGGATCCGAGCCTGGCGTTGGTGGCACGCCTAGGTGCGGCTTCGGCCGTGCCAGCCTCCAAATCTCTGTTGTGTTGGTTGAAATCCTGGTTATTGTTGTGTGGACCAGGGGGAGTGGTGGAACGCCAAGGTGAGGATCCGTCCGAGCCATCCACCTGCGGCCTCCCTCGTCTCCGGTCTTCTTGACTCTGTCTTGACACCGGGCTCGGGCGAGGGAGGTGGAGAGAGTGTAGGTAGACGCACCGCAAATCTACTGGCACTATAAACCCCTGCGCAAGTCACCGTCCCTGCTCCAACCTGCTGTGGGGCACACGGTGGACATCATCGAAATCGATGGTCGAACTGTCAAATGGTAATTTCTATACGAAAGACCCGAGAACTCGAAATAGCGGGAGAAGAGTCGACCGAACCCCCTCCCCCCCCCAACCGAGAGTTGAGTCCAGGATGCCTGGGTGAAAGCCAGAAATCCTGACCGCTAAGCCATCGGAGACAATCTCTCAGTCAGCGCATTTCGCTCACGTCCAGCACTTGGTACAACAAAGCGACATGCCAGTCGTGTCGCATACGGACGTTTAAAAATGTGCATAGCAAACATCACAGTGGGCTGTACACTTGTGATTGGTCTGCAGGGTTCTCGCTCGGTGTAGGTATTTACACGGATGGATACTGTCGCATTGACGAAGGTGGTTCTGTGAATAGAGGTGGAGAGGCGGTACACATCGATGCGTCACTGGTCCACCGGTTTTTTTCAGTTTTTTCATGCAAAGTTCCAACAGAGTTTAATGCTGCTCAAAAAATGAAACCATATCCATCAACTCATAAATTTATTAAGTTTCACATGCTTTCTCATATGAATTAAAAGCGTCTTCGCCGTACTAGAAACAATTATCCGTTCTGCGGTTCGAGGAAGGTTGCGTGACCTTTAACCGAAAATCCCACGTCACATATGCCGGCCATGAATAAACTATGCCTCCTCGTTTTCCTGAGCATTCAGCCTAGCGATATCGTGGAGAATCGAAAAACCCAAACTCGCGGAGGCAATGGACATTGCATGCAGGTTAAGGCGATGATGGGATCGTCGGCGACACATGTCTCACGCCTCAATCCTGCAGTCGCCCCACATGAGCACAACGTGTCGAAGTGCGGCAGTACACTTGTCGGTGCGTGTGTAGGCCGCGCGAAAAGCACGCCACCTAAGATCTTCTTACTACGCAGAGCCGTACAAGAGTACGAAGTATGTGCAACCAGCGATTGCTCCAGCTTGCACTGCGGGGTGACTAACCCGGTGACTGCCTGTTAGGATCAGAGAGCGAGCCCCGACAAACTCGCTACAAACCCGTGAGCTTTGTGTGTGTGTGCTCCCAGGAAACCGCATTATGAGTATTTCTCCTAGGAGAACAAAGCCATGGTGTTTCGAAAATGCATTTGGCCTGTTTGAGCGTGAACAGAGGTCTGAATGTAGAACGCTGTACACATTAATAATTTGAATTAAAGAGACGCGTTCTATTAAAGAAATAAGCTTTTCATTACCTGGAAAGTGGTCAGCCATAGTGTAGCAATAATAGTAAGGAACTTCAGATTGCTAAAAGCCTGCTCCCCGACCGGGAGTCGAACCCGGGCCGCCTGGGTGAGAGCCAGGAATCCTAACCGCTAGACCATCGGGGACGCGCTTCACTTTGCATATATGTGCAGAAGACTCCAAGTGCGTACAGCTAAGCGGACGCCTTCATCGCGCAGAGTGCATGTCAGCATGCGTGCATATAATCACACATTGCTGCGTTCGTCATCTGAGGCACATACGGCTTCCTTGGAATAGTCACGTGGTTATTATGGATGACAAACGCCTGCCAAATGGACAACGAAATTGTGACGTTCTGCAGGTATTTATAGACAGGACAAACAAAGGCACAGTTGGGAAAACACACTGAAGATCTCTCTAATATGACACTTATCCCCCCTCTCTCAAATATTCCTACATTCCGACCCCGCCTTTAGACTAATTTTAACCGCTTTTTATTATCATTGACAGGTTCTACTTGAGCCCCTTCCCACATAAATGTATTGGCCTGACGAGAATTTATCGAAAGCTAACTTCTGTTTGTCAACAAGTATTCTGACTTTTCGCAACCGCAACAATTGGTGACTCTTGCATTGGCCGAGGACTGATGGGCTGAAAAGGCCCGAGTTGTACTGTCCGCGGGTCAGCACGTCGGAGATATGATGAAGTTGGTTTGCAGCAGGTTTTGTGTGGAATTTGAGTGGTTTTGAGTCGTTTGAGCTTCGAGGGAACTACAGAGTCCTTGGCCATTAGGGATGTCGGTCATTGCTCCCAGGCAATTTTATAAGATACCTTTAAGCGTATGGAAGGACCTCACTGTTGATTCCGCGACGTTTTACACGAACGTACTATGCAGCCAGTGCCAACTGAGAGTTCTTGATCTGAGCTCATCACTCGCTGAAAAGGTTTACATCGGACGAGAGAATACAGACACCAACCCCACTCCGGTATTTTACGTGGGTCTCCCGTTGAATTACAAAGGGGGGGGGAGGAGTAGATGACATTCCCGAATCCTGACTTTAACCTCAACCTCTAGTAGGAGCGAAGAGGCGAGTTGCAGGAATCTGTCACAAAGGAGGAGATAGGGTTGCTGGAACAAGAGATTTATCAGTCTGACGTTTTGGATTCTCACTTGAACCCAACAGCAGAGACGAAGTCAGATAAGGGCAGTGCATTTCCCATGTGTTTCAGTTATTATAGGAGGTAGTTGCTAGGCGGCTACATACCTATCACTGTTGCAGCTTTCAAGTGCATCAGGGCTCGACGGGTCAGGTGCTCATGAAGTTGTCATGCAGTTGCTGTCCGCCTGTGTGTCGATCAAGATGATCGGCTCCCACGCCCATTGCACGCGGCCGAGTTGTTGACTGCCGGATTTTGTCATCCACGTGGACTCTAGTTGTTTTATATCCAGCTAACCTGAAGTTTATTCCGTAGACAACCGGCTTCTCTTAGGGCCGCATTATCGATGTCGAAAGTATTCTCTTTTTAAGCTACCCTTCGCGCTCAGATAAGCAAAATTCATTTACGAAACACCATTGTGTTGCCTCACTAAATCGATTTCTTTTCCGCCCTCATATTTGAAAACAAATCTCGCATGAACTCGAAACTCATATTCATGTATACCAACGCGCAAAGTGTACTTTCTAAACTGGACGAACTCCGTATCCATACCTACGACCTCCATCCAGATGTTATCTCCATAACAGAAACATGGTTGTCCGAACAGGTTGATGATAGAGAGCTCATGCTCCCTGGATTTCAACTGTTCCGCCGAGACAGAGAAAACAGAAGGGGTGGAGGCATAGTAACATTTGTTAAGCACGGCCTGCACGTTTCAGAAAAAACTGCCCAACTAACTTGTAGTACCGAAGCATTATGGCTGACCATAAGGGCACCGGGCTCTCAAAGTCTCGATATCTTGACAGTATATCGCCCCCCGAGAAATGACCCTGACGCTGATGCCCAACTGCTGGAGGAGCTCAGATTATTTTCAACGCGGCCGACCACTCTCATCGTTGGAGATTTTAATGCACCTCACATCGACTGGAGCTCGGCCTCAGCCGACTGCTCTGAAGCAGCATTTGACCAGCAGCTACTGCGTACCTCCGACAACCTGCTTCTCACACAACACGTAATGTTTTCAACTAGAGTTCGAGAGGGCCAACAGATGAACTGCCTCGATCTTGTGTTCACCAAGTCGTCTGACAACATCGACGTTGTGAATTGCCTCCCCCCGTTGGGTCAGAGTGACCATGTAGTTCTCATGTGGGTATACACGTTATTCTCCCTTCCTGCACAACCGCTCGATTCCCGACCTAATATTTGGCGCGGCGATTTCGAACAGATGAAAAAGGATCTTAGTCCTATCGACTGGGCATCCACTCTCTCCGGCGATGTCGAAGAGGCTTGGTGTCAGTTCAAAGAGTTAGTCCACAACCTCATCTCCAACCACTGTCCAATCATGCGCAAAAGACTAACAAATGGACCTCGCTGGTTGACTCCGTCCTTAAAGAAGGAAGTTAACAAGAAGAGGAAGCTATGGAAAAGATCGCTGACGGACCGCACGCCAGAATCCCTAAGCAGTTATAAGTTACAGAGAAATCGGGTCAAAATTCTCATCGCCAGAGATAGGAAAGCTTTTGAAAAGAATCTTTTGAACCGTGCCATGATTAATCCAAAAATCCTTTACAGCTACATAAGACAGAGCACACGGAACAAAGATCCTGTCCCACTGCTGCGAACGGCTGAGGGTGTGGAAATCTCCGATGACAAGGATAAGGCTGAACATCTCTCTCAGTCCTTCCGGTCAGTCGTGACAAGTGAACCTGCTTTTTCCTCACCCGCTTATGAAGACGAATAAACGCCTACCCTCGAAGCCGTCTTCTTCACTTAAACAATTGTTCGGAATGAGTTACAAAACCTAAAAGAATCGACCTCCCCAGGCCCTGATGCAATCCCAGCCAAGCTGCTGAAGGAACTAGCTTCCGAAATGTCCAAGCCGTTAGCCTTGATCTTTCAAACGTCATTTGTTACTGAATGCCTGCCCTCTGACTGGAAGTCCGCTACCATCACTCCGCTTTTTAAGGGTGGAAGTCGTGCGTCTGCGAATAACTACAGGCCAGTGAGTCTTACCTCCATCTGTTGCAAAATCATGGAGAAGATCATTAAGAAGGCCTTGGTGCAGTTCCTCGAGCAGCACCATCTTCTTTCTGATGCCCAACACGGCTTTCGAAGTGGTAGGTCCTGCCTCACGAATCTACTCTTTACGCTCGAACGCTGGACCAAAGCACGTGATGAAGGCAATGTGGTGCACGCCATCTACATCGACTTCAAAAAGGCTTTCGACAGCGTTCCTCATCAACGTATCTTGTACAAACTGCGCAACGCTGGAATTCGTGGACGCCTTCTTGTATGGATCCAGAGCTTTTTGGCTGGACGGTCCCAGAGAGTGCAGGTCGGGCGTCAACAGTCCTCAGATGTAAGCGTGGTGAGTGGCGTCCCACAGGGCTCAGTCTTAGGTCCCACGTTATTTCTCGTTTTCATAAATGACTGCGTCAAGGACCTAGACTGTGATGCCATCCTGTTTGCCGACGACATAAAATTGTGGAAAGTTATTCACGATGTGACAGACGCAGACCACCTGCAAGCAAACTTGAACAGGCTCGAAGACTGGTCGAAGCGCTGGCTTATGCCCTTCAATATAAGCAAGTGTAACTTTCTTCAACTCGGCGGCTTCATAGCCCCCAGCCCCAGGACCTACATTCTACACGGCACACCACTGCAACAGGTTGATAGTCAGAAGGACCTGGGTGTATGGATTACATTTTCACTCAAACCAACACTGCACTGCGCGAAGGCGGCTAAATCGGCTACGGCCACATTGCAACTCATTAGGCGAGCATTTATGGGATTTGACCCTGACTGCTTCTCAAAAATATTTGGCACCTTCGTGCGACCTCATCTAGAATACGCCATACAGGCGTGGAGACCCTGGACTGCCAAGGATTATACCGTCTTGGAGAAGGTCCAGAGACGGGCGACCAAAATGACACAAGGTCTGGGAGCACTGCCCTATGAAACCAGACTGTCAATCCTAAACCTGTTTCCCCTTTCCTACAGGCAATTACGTGGTGACCTTATACTAACATTTCGCATCATCAACGGCCTAGACTGTTGTTTAGATCCCACTGATTATTTCACCCAAGCTAACACGCCCACTTTGCGCGGTCATCCCCTAAAACTACGCGCAGGGAAATCAAGAACCAATGGACGAAAGTCCTTTTTCAGTAACAGAGTGGTTGCAGCCTGGAATGCCCTGCCTACCGATGTTGTAACCTCCTCCTGTGTGAACTCCTTCAAGTGTAGACTTGACCTGCATCAAGCTTCCCAATTACCACCCCCACATCCACTCACATAACCCGATACCATCTTATACGTGTTTATACTACTTGTAATTAGTAAGTAACCATTAATGAGTACTCTTTTTTGACTACCTGTCAGCTGTCCGCGAGTATGTACAAAATCCCTTTTTCACCTTCCCATTTATCAAGTTTTTCTCCGACGACTTGCAACCAAGAGGGAGTTCGGAGGCGCTTGCCTATATTTCCCTTAATAAACTGATACTGATACTGAATCACGCTATTACAACGTCTTCTGCTAGTAAAGGGACTATTTTATGGCGATTGCCATGGCATGGCGACCATTTTTTGATTTGTCTCAGTGCGGTAAGTCACCGTGGTCCCGAATCCCGTGACGCGGGATTGTACAGTAGGTGGGAAACTCATGAAATGCCAAGCGAAATTCCGAAATACGTTTTTGTTTTGAAAAGATTACTTATGTGCCGTTGTAAAATTAATCCTCGTGTAGCATAGTTCCAATAATGATAATAACAATAATTCAGTTACCTCAGGATGTTGGCTTTCGAACGAACTTCTTTCCGGCTGCAAGCACAAACTGTACTCTGTAAAAATAATTACTTATGTAACATGCATGGTTTCAATGAATTTCAATGCTCCTTAGGTAGAAAATGACGTCTTCTTTCAATTTTATCCTCGAATGAAGGGTAAAATTCGATTTTTAAAAAGTTTCACATTGCGAGACTTTTGATGCCGTGAAATGAACGTTCATAAGACGTCACGTCACTGCATTTACCAATGTGGCTTGTAAACTTAACAATATGGATCAAATCCACTGATAAATTTTACGAATCCCATGTGGACTCCTCTTAATTCCGTAGAGAAATTTATGGTTTTCCATACGCGAAAACATACGGCTTGTAGTTTGTAAACCCCGAATGCAAATGTAACGGTAGGTTGGGTTCAAAATTATTTGAGAATTGGTAAAGCTTTTGAAAATCAAGTTATACCCTTTATTCGAGCATAAAATTGGAAGAAGACTCAATTTTCTACCGAGTGAGCAGAAGAATGAATATTTTTTGCCCATGTTTTCAATTCAAGATAATTGAATTTTTAAGGGCATCGAAAATCAATGAAAAAAATGCACGCTATTTAAGTAATCGTTTTTACAGAGTATAGTTTTTGCACGCAACCGGAAAGTGCTTCTTTCGAAATCCGACATCCCAGCTTAAATAAAATCGCCGATATGGAATTACTTAGTGCACTAGTTGTTATCTAAACAGGAAAACTTACTACCTCTGGGGGACTTTAACGTTACAAGAATAGACTGGAAAATTCCTTTAACAAACGCCCCGTCAACGTCGTTAGACCACAAGCTACTACAACTCCCTCTGGATGAATACCTCATCTAACACGTAAAATTCTGAACAAGACTGAGTGAGAGACAACGATCCAACTGTTCAGATCTCGTTTTCAGTAAAGAAAAAGGAGTTATAAGGGAAGTGAATCCACAACCTCCACTCGATTTAAGTGACCATATTGCTTTAACCTGTGTATGCTCTCTCATATGGAACCAACAACCGAAAATCAAGAGGCGCAGAAATATTTAAAAGGGTGAATTTAAGGTAATGAGACGTGCGCTTTCTAAGGAAGCCTAGTTAGTCAAAATGGAAAATTCAGAAGAGTTATGGCATTACTTGTGCTGGACTCTAGAGCGTCTGATTGTCCAATAAAAATAACAAGACCATGCGCGCGACCGCCGTGGGTCACTCCGATGAAGAAGAAACAGTGGCTGGGAAAAATGTGCCCGCATTTACAAGATCCAATAACATTCGTCGAATATAAGGAACAGCGTAATGAATGTCGCAAAGAAAAAGGGGTTGCTAGAACTTCTTTCGGGCACCAATCGATAGCAGAATCCATTATATATCCCAAGAAGTTTTATGGGCACATCCTTAGTAGGAGAAAACAAAGGGATGAAATTGCGCTAAAGGATAGCCTCGGAAACTTACTATTTGAAAGGCTACAGAAGGTGCAATAAACATCTGAGTTCTTTCCATCGGTTTTTACGGAGGAATCCTCTGAAGAAATCAGGAGTTTGAAATGGGCCAAGACAAACGGGAGCTTTAAATGCGCCAAGAGACTGCCGTCAAGGAACCGTTGCCTTTTCCGTCGCAGAAGTAAGACGTGTCCTCATTCAAACAAAACCATATAAGTCTGCTGGACTAGACGGGATCTCCAGTCGGATAATTAAGAAGCTCTTAACAGAGCTACCAAAGCCTATTTCGACTCTTTTTGAGCTTTCAATGAGGACAGGAAGGCTGCCATAGCAGGGGAAGACAGCTTAACTCGTTCCCTTACATTAGGGAGGCAGGGAGATGGCAGCAGGCAGCTTCAAGCCTATTAGTTTAAATTACCTCTCTTAAAAAGTCCCATAATTAGAAACTTTTTTAAAACCTTATTATACTCCTTCCTTAAGTATAAAATATAAAGAAGACGTGATTCTCTATTGAGTGACTAAAAGAAAGCATATTTTTATTCATGGTTTCTATAAAATATATTTGAATTTGCAAGACCATCGAAAATCAATGGGAAAAATGCATGCTACTTAAGTAGTCATTTTTTACCGAGCACGCTTTCCATAGGAGATTGAAAAGAAGTGCATTTAAAAGCCGACATGCTGCCGAGTCCAAAATGCTATAAGAGTATGCCTTAGAATAATCAGTATCACCACCGCGACCAAGTAATCCTTCCTAATCGAAAATGCATTTCAGAATTTCAGCCACCATTTCATGAGATAGGTCACTCACTGTATGGCCGCGATTGCTAATAAAAGACTAAACATGCCTTGAGCGGGTTCAACGTCGTGCAACAAAGCTGGTGAATGGTTTGAAAAGCTAATCCGACAGAGACAGAATGTATTGCCCTAATTTATTTCCTCAGTGTTGCAGGAGGCAAAGGGGTGATCTTATCCTCGTCTACAAGATAACACATGGCCTTAAGCACGGATTTAACTCTGAGAACATGTTTCAGTTGCACCTTCCACCCAATCCTCGTGGCCATCAAATGAAGCTATGCACGAAAATGTCCAGGCTGAATCTTCGTTTTGACTTTTTCACACAAAGGGTAGTTCGGAAATGGAACGACCTCCCTCAGCCAGTCGTGGAGGCGACGTCCCTGCAACTCTTCAATAAACGCCCAGATAATTATTTGTATTCCTAGATGTTTTGGCAGATTTTGAATAATTTATATTGACCCATCTGTGAAAAACTCGGCGCCTCGGTGGGAATCGAACCCACGAATTATTTGTATCACCTGTTTTCCCTCAACAATCTGATCCTGAGCTAAATACTCCGCGATCTCTGGGAAATCTTTTCGCTGAAATAATGTTACCCAACTGAATAAAGTGCTGTTTTAATAGCGAAGATCTTCATTGTTCGTGTTCAATTGTATATAACGAGCTATGTAATCAATATGGTTTTCAAAGACAATGCCTATTATCCTTACTAAATAAACTGAAACTTCGGTAATTGAATTATTACAGAATTATGCTGCACGACGATTAGTTTTATAACCCTTCTTAGTTACGTTTTTCGAAACGCGAACGCATTTCGGAATTCCTGTTGACAGTTCATGAGTTAGCCCACCTACTGTATGCTGGGGGTCAGATAATGAACTTTTTACTATAAGTCAGTAGGCGATGTTATCGAGGCCTCACTACCGTCAGCGGGACTCACAGAGGAAGACGTACATTGTTTGACCTTGCCTAAACAAAATCTTGAAGTACGTTCTCATCCGGTAGGTAATACCCAAGAGGGGACGCGATATGGATGATTGTGCTGTATGACTGAATTTCTTTCTGGTCCCACGAAGAAACCATAGTCGACAGAAAACGACAGCTTGTGGCATGTAATTTTTTTCCCACTGATTTCCTTTGTCCTCATGAATTCAAATATATGCTATGGAAAACATGCCCAGGCATTTCATTTCTTCTGCTCATTTGGTAGCAAGTCGCAAGTTATTGAACTTTACGCCTGAGGAACTGGCATATTTGGGTACGGACAACTAGAATTTAAGAATTTTATATGGCATACAGCAAAATTCACTTTTTAGGCGACATTTTATGAGCCCAATGCTACCGCTTCTTGAAAAGGTACAGAAATGTGCGAATTTACCTATGCGAAAAGTGCAAAGCAAGTAGTTTCAAGGCCTTAGGCGCAATTTCAAATGAGGATCGGATTTAAAATTATTCAAAAATTATAAAATCTATCTAAAACCCAAAGATATCAATGCTTTAATCAATAAAATTCTCGAAAGGACGCAGATTATTAACTAATGAGTGCAGGGAAGAACATTGCTATGCATGGTTCCTATAGAATATATGTGTATTATAGAAGACATCGAAAGACAATGTGATAAATTCATACCAATTGAACAGTCATTCCTTACAGGTTACGGTTTCTGCAGATCAAAGAAACGTTGAGCATTAAAAATCCGGTATCCTAGCATGCCGGAAATATCATGGAATTATGCTGCATGCTAATTGGTATTGCAAACCCACCTCGATAATCCTTATCAAATGGAAACGCATTTCTGTACTTCGGTCAACATTTCATTAGCTGGAAGTCAGATAATGGGAGAGTTGGAGACTGCAGTCATGTCGGGCGGTGCATATGCCTAAGGCGAATGTGAAAAATGCAGCAATTTGGACAGATGGCAACAATAAGCAGGAGTGCTCGCTCCTCCTTGCCGCAATACCTACGGGCCAAATGCTGTCTTCACATCCTTTGTACTCTTGTACTTCGCTGGACAGTCGAGAGGCGTAATTATTGTCATGCCCGCCATTAGGCTTTTCTTAGGGTCACATTATTCATTGTCGCATTATTTTTGGCCGAGCCTTTCTCTTTTAAATTGCCGTTCACATAGAGTATGTGGCCTAAGTAATGAAATGTCAACCGAAATTCCGAAATGTGTTTTCGTTTCGAAAAGATTAGTTAAACAGGGTTGTAAATCGAGTTAGCCTGCAACAAAATTCTATTATATTTTAGTTAACACGGAATGCCGTCATCAGGCATCTATTAGGGTCGCATTATTTTTTTCCAAGTCGTTCACTTTTAAATTGCCGTTCACATTCAAAAAGGCAAAATGAATTTTGAAGTACCATTGTGTTGCTTTGCTAAGTGGGTTTTCGTCCTTATGCTTGAAGCCCCATGCTATTACAATATCTCCTGATATTAAAAATAATATTTTATGCCGGTAAGTATTACAAACCCACTCAAAAAAATTCTGGTCAAATGAAAACACATTTTCAATGTTTCGGTTAACATCTCTTCGGCTGGTGAGTGGAGTCAAGTCGGGCGGTGCACATGTCTAAGCCAGACGTGGACAATGCAGCATTTTTGGACCGGTGACAATGGTAAGCAGGGGTGTTCGCTCGTCCCTGCCTCAAGAGCAGTGCGGACGATATCTGGCTGCACATTACTCGTACAGTAGATGTGCTAACTCATGAAATGTCACCCAAAATTTCGAAACGCGTTCTCGTTTCGAAAAGATAAATTAAGTAGTGTTGTAAAACTAATCATGATGCAGCATAAATATATAATGGTCCAGTTGCCTCAGGGTGTCGGCTTTCGAAAGAACTTATTTTCGGCTGCATGCAAGATCTATACTCTGCAACAAATGACTACTTAATTAACGTGCAATCTTCTCATTGATTTTCGATGCCCTTGAAAATTCAATTATATTTCATGGAAAACATGCATAAAATACTCATTCTTTTACTTATTCGGTAGAAAATCACGTCTTCTTCCAATTCAATACTCAAAAGAAGAGTATAATTCGGTTTTAAAAAACTTTTCTAATTCCCGAATAATTTTGAACCCGGCATGCTGTTACACTTGCATTCATGGTTTCAAAACTGCAATCTGTATATTTTCCGTTTACGGAAAACCATGCGATTCTCTACGGTGTTAAGGTAAGACCATATGAGTTTCATAAAATTAAGCAGTGGATTTGAGCAACATTGTTAACTTTACAAGCCACATTCGTAAATGCAGATACATGACGTTCCATGAACGGCCATTTAACGGTACTTAAAAATCTCACAATTAGAAACTTTTTTAAAACCGAAGTATACTTTTCTTGTTAGTATTAAATTCGAAAAAGACGTGATTTTTTACCGAATAAGTAAAAGAATGAGTATTTTATGCATGTTTTCCATGAAATATAATTGAATTTTCAAGGGCATCGAAAATCAGTGAGAAGATTGCACGTTAATTAAGTAGTCCTTTTTTGCAGAGTACAGATCTTGCATGCAGCTGAAAATAAGGTATTTCGAAAGCCGATACCCTGAGGTAACTGGATCATTATTGAGTTATGCTGCATTATGATTAGTTTTACAACATTATATAATTTATCTTTTCGAAACGAGAACGCATTTCGAAATTTTGGTTGACATTTCATGACTTAGCACATCTACTGTACTCTTGTACTACTCTGCGTAGTAAGGAGATCCTGCGTGGCGTGCTGTTCGCGCGGCATACATACGCACCGACATGCCGCACCTCGACAGGCTGTGCTCAAGTGGGGTGATTGCAGGCATCAGGCTCGACGCACGCGCTGATACCTGTAATGCACTTGTGCGATTTGATCAGACCCCCGGGAGTTGTTCGGTCGCTGACAATGTCCACCTCGTGCCCCACAAACAGGAACGGTGACTTGCCGTCAGAAACATTAGGCGGCATTCCTGCCACTTTCTGTCGGCGAGTAGAATGGACACTCACGACTGGACAAATTGATTTGTCCGCGTGTTATCACGCACTATACCCACGCAGCCAGTTGGCGCAGCTCACATCGCCCCAAAGTACAAACGGCGCCACCACGCCGGAGGGACCATTGTGGACCAGGCGGCACAAACCAGGCCTAGCCACGGACGTAGTCCCATCCTCCTCACGATACAGCGATACAAATGTTCACACGTTGGTGCACTTTATCCGTCTCTGATGATGAACTCCAGTTCGAGCTCGAAAGCTAAGGCCAATAAATCTACGGTTCCCGTGATCATGCCTACCTCTTCTTTTAAGATTAGACACTGTTTCTAACTATTCGAGCATTTGTATTAACCACAGTGTCTCATAATTGAATGTCCACGAGCAAACGGAATACTGCATCCCGCATGACTGTTTTATCCATCTTCCCAAATAACGGGCAGTATTCTTTCACAGTGTCAGTCAGTGTGTAGAATGCCAACTGCTTCTCTCTGCATTGACTTGCCTTTTTGTGAGACTGCAATGGGTAGAAGGAAAGCCAAAATTTATTTACAACTGGCGCCTGCGACCCATGACTATGCGTAGAATGTTAGGAGACCTTCAGGGAGCTGAGGTTCGGGAAGAGGATTTCTGATGCGGCGAAGCTGACTCTCAGGCTACTTCAAACTACGTTGCTTAATTTGGAGGAAGGAAATTCCTATTTAGAGGAATTGAAAACACCCGTGAATCTGGGACACGCAATCTCTGCCTGCCTCGCCTACTACACTAGAATTTTAAGTAGGCAAGAACGGCAGGATTTATTGGTACCAAAACATTCCGCGACTGCTCTTCAGCTGCTTCCTGTCGCTTCATAAGTGAGATAACGAGTGAGAACAATACAACAGATTTGAATTCGTGCAGAAAATCGATGCAGAAACAGCAAGGTTAGGGTTATGGGCAAAGTTGGCTAATCGATAAAGTTAGTAACACAAACGCCTTAGGGGAAGAAAGTGAAAAAAACGTCGACGAGATAAACTGAGAACTATTATCTGAAACCAGGACTTCTGGTAAGCCATGCTGGCTAAAGATGCGTCGTAGGAAGACGATAGTGGCAGATGCGGTTGCTGGATTCAGCGGAGCAATCTCGGGCCATTTCGAGTAGGCGTCAACCAAGATTAGGTAGGAGACTCCGTTAAGTGGGCCAGCGAAGTCGATGTGCACGCGTGACCAGGGCCTCTCTGGTGGTTTCCAGGGTACTGGCGGTTGACGAGGCGGCATCTTGGCAGCTTGCTGACATCGAGAACAGCGTCAAACCAGGTCGTCGATGTCGCCGTCGATACCCAGCCAGTAAACAAAACTGCGAGCAAATGACTTCATTCGGCTGGTACCAGGATGAGCGGCATGGGACTGGCGTAGTGCAGTGGGTCGGAGGGAAGATGGGATCACCACACGTTCTGCAAACATGAGGCAGGCGTCAACCACAGAAAGCGATGCTCGGCGGAAAGTGTAATCCCGGTGGAAATGCCACGCGCCACAGTGCCGACCAGGAGATGGCGGAGATCTCGACTTGGACACTTGCTTGGGCCGTGTAACAGGATGCGATTTGGTCGATGTGACCGTATGGACTGAGAAAGATGAGGCAGGATTCTGAATCATTGCAGAGTCAGGCTTGAGATTGATCAGCGTTTGGCACTCTGCTGCCAGCTCTTGGAGTGTGGTAGAGTTGTTCTGCTGCACTTTGGACAGGAGACGTGTCCGGATATCAGCATCCTTGGGGGACTGGAGGCCGCAGATAAATATAAGGCATTTAAACTGGTCTTCAGTGAGAGAACCGAGTTGAAAACGCCCACACTCACGATTGACAATGCCCGCATACGTGATAAAATCATCGGAATCGCGTTTGCACAGCTGCAGGCACTGAAATCGAGTGTTGAAAAGGAATGATTGATCACCAAAAACCTGCGACAACGTCTCAACCGTGTCTTTGAAAGCGACCTCTCGCGGATTCTTGGGGAGGATGAAGTTTGCATAACGTTCGTGTTCAGCCGGACCCAGTTTGCGAAGTAGGAGTCGAACCTTCCATGCATCGTCCTGAGCAGCCAGATCGACAGAGAACAAGTCCTCGTATCGTTTGTACCAGGACTCAAAGGTGATATGGGCATGCGGGTCATACAGGAATTCAGTGATGCTGCCGGCAATGTGATCAACAGATTGTGAACCACCAGCCGCGCTTGATTGCCCCATGGATGAATTGGATAGCTTGACGGTCAGAGCCTCCATCAGCTTCAGCTGCTGCTGCAACATCTGCTTCAAGTCTGCGTACTCGTCAGCCATTTTATTTGAAAAACCTGCCATTGTGGCAATATGACCCAAATGAGATTAGTGCCACCCCTCCTGGAAAGGATTCGTAGATCAGGTGGCTAAAGCGTTGATTCTACACAGGTCTTCCCCCTGTTGTCTTGGTTACGAATTCCACCAAGGTCGACGAGGTTGCCCCAGATGGGTCAAAATATTTAAGTTAGTTGCTTACGGAAATGTCAGCAGTTTGCAGTCAAATCAAGCAATTGGGTCACAGATCTAATGCCACTAGGTAGGGAAAGTGTGTTTTCTGCTTTCTTCTTCTTCATATCCGACTGAAGGACCCGGCGGTGGCAGCGTCAATAAAAAGGCAGTTCTTAAAATCACAGAAGGCATTTGCATAACCGTTTGCAAGTCATTGGCCAAGGCTTTAACTCAAGGCTGTTTTGGTGTCTTCGGCCGATCTCTTTCTTTGTGGATGTAAGGGGCATTCGACTGTCAAAGAGAGGACTTACATTGTGCTGTGCATAATTCCTACTCGTCCTCTCGCTCCCACTCTGTGATAATTGACAGATGAGGACTGTGTCTTGCCTGGTCCATCTGTGCAGTAGGTTCGGAACAGCCGACGAGTTTTTGCAATTAGAAATACCTTGGGAACATAGCACTAAGCTCTATTGTATAATCTCCCTGTAGACTGTTCCGCCAGTCTGTAGACGCCACATTTCAAACACTGTCTCAACCACTGCAGACGGATAGTCCGGGTAGGCAGAAGCCGATCCCAACAAATGACCTGCACTGTTATTGAAGGCCCTAATTTTCCGACTTCTGACGGTTGGTTTACTGTTGAGGGTTGTACCCGACGAAACGGAGACCATTGTCCCCAAATCCATTTCTCTGGTAGGGGTGTACCTATATCTATCATGAACATTTGTTTACTTAAGCGCTGCAGACAAGTAGCATCTTAGTGGCAGACTCGAACTTACGAAACCAACGCTTACAGACTTTTCAGTTTGCAGATTGTCGTACAGCATAGGCAGTCAGTCAGCAGACATTTAATTTCCATAATTATTCACCAAAATCTCATACTCCGCATGGATTTAACGCGAAAAATATTCGGTCTGCCCCATTTACTGTAATTCAGTCAGAATTCAAACAACTCTGTTGCGAGGTCAGTAGATGGACTGCTACTTCTGTTAACACACGGTCTGCCCTAAATTGCAAGGAACCATTACCGAGAGAGATGGGCTCCAATTATATCTGCCGGTTATGTTGTCAACTGGGTTTTAATGTCAATGGAATGCCTGTCAGTTAGTGGCCACAGAGAAATAATATCGAGTGATCTTCACTGCCTCTAGGCAGACTTGGCTTAGAATAAATTTCGTTTTGATCGTTCCTATTTTATTAAATGATTGTCTTCCACTTGGCCAACCAAACAACCCAGTTGGCAAACTGTCACACGCATCTTCAATAGTGCTACTTCACCGAATGGCGCAGAGATTTGCATTTCTTCATCGAACCATTAGGATGAATGGATCTGCAAGGAATAAACATCCAGCAAAAAGGCGCTTGGGTCAAGGATGTCTGAGAACCTTTCTTCGTGCGAAGAACGCAGAAATAGCTTCCCGTGGTGATGAACACACTCACCGGGACAGCATCGTGCAGGTAAATCAGGCTGCCACAAGGCGTCAGTTACCGTTTCGCTACTTTGTGGCTATCATTTCACGGTAACGAATGCGCCACCACTGTCAACGTCTACACCCATTCTATACCAACTCACTGAAAAGGAAAACAGGTTTGTTGAAGATCCGCGCACACTCCCCAGCCAACGTGCCGAAGGCGGACAAGTCGGCTGTCCTTGGCGATCTCAATGGCTGCCTCGACACAGACCATGCAGTCTGAGAGGAAGCTTTCAGTCACTAAGGCATCAACAGCTGTTACAGGAATGGCGTTCTCCTGCTATACGCTATAGTCTTCCTCTCACCGACACGTCATTTCATCTTCTGATACGGGAGAACGCGACGTGGCCTCACTCTCACTCGCATCTAGTTGACTGCGTTCTGGTTTGGAGGCGATATCGGCGTGGCATGTGTAGTAGTGCTTGGGTTAGGGTTAGAACGTCGCTACTTGGGTAGAGCTTAAGGAAGGTATTAGGTAGTGGTGAAAATGCGATTCCTGGGTGACATATCAAAAGAAAGGGAGGCGTTTACCGGGAGAGGTGTATTGGAGGTTTGACGTTTCGAGTAGTCGATTCTTCTACCCATCTTCCGAGACTGAGCAGTCGGGCACACAGCTTTCTTTATATAGCGCACTTTGTTTGAACGTACAACTAGGTTGGGGAAACCGGCCGACGGCTGCAAACAGGCGTGCACGAGCATAAGTTGGCCGTGCGAAGGTTGGACCCAAAGTCGGAGGCAGCAACTCATGCCACCCAAATGGGACACGTCTTCAACTTTGACGCCGTTGAAATTGTGGACCGAGGTGATGATCATACGGCAAGGCATATGCAAGAAGCCTGGATGTCTACCGACTGTTCTGTCAACCGCCACATCAATTGGCCTCCCCCCTATCTGGTTTTACGGACATTCTTGACGGGGGACAGTCACGGCGCGGGACAATCGGGGCCGTCAACTATCGCCGCGGCCGCGGCAGGATTCAGGTCACGGTCACATGCGTGTCGGATGCAGCCACACAGGCGGCATTGGCGAGCCAGGCATCCGACAAAGTGCACCACATAAGGAAAGTTGTGTGCATGACTGTTCAGTCTCTGCAGATGGATAGAAGAAACGACTACTCGAAACGTCAGACCTCCAATACACTTCTCCCGGTGAACGCCTCCTTTTCTTTTGATACGCTATAGTCCCCCTCTCACCGACACGTTATTCCATCTTCCGATACGGGAGAACGTGACGTGGCTTCACTCTTACTCACATCGTTGGCATCTACCGGACTGCGTTCTGGTTTGGAGGCGATATCGACGTGGCATGTGTAGTAGTGCTTGGGTTAGGGTTAGAACATCACTACTCGGGTAGAGCTTAAGGTAGGGATTAGGTGGGTAGGGGCTATGGGTTTTAGTGTTTGAGGTTGGGTTATGGGGCTTAGTCTTTGGGTTAGGGTCGTGAACGTTATTGTTTGGATTGGGTTTAGGGGTCTTAGTGCTTGTGTTAGTGTGTGAACTAAGACTAGGTTTAGGATTTGGACTTGTGATATGATTGGTAGTGTTTGGTTGAGGTTTCGAGTTATGATAGATAGCTTTTGACTCAAGGTTAGGTTTAGGATTCGGATTTGTTATTAGGACGAGTGATTGGGTTATGACCAGGATTGTGCGGGTTATCGTTTAGATTAGGGCAACGAAAATGAGTGGCTATGTAGGGCTTGCGATTAGAGGTCTGGGGTTTTGGGCAGTCGAGTTTTGTTTGTTTGTTTGTTAGGCCTTTAAGTGCTATGAGGATTACTGCCCAAGGTAGGTTGAGATTGCGCGAGTAAGTGTTTTGGTTTGGGTTAGGAGAATTAGTCCTTGAGTAGATTTAGTAGGGTATGGACTGTGGTGGGTTTGTTCTTTCGGTTAGGGACGTGCGTTTTACTGCTTGTTTGGGTTTATGATCAGGGGTAGGGTTGTGGGCTAAGTCCAGATTTAGGTTTCGGGCCCAGGTATTAGTGCGCGGATTATTGTTAAGTTAATGATGGATAATTTTTGGATCCTGGTTTTGTTTAGGATTCGGATTTGTGTTATCAAGATTAGTGCTTGTGAAAAGGGAGAGGTTCTTCGGAAAAAAATCAAGTTGATGACACCAACCCGTCGTCAGACGAAGTGAAAGTAAGAGAGTGAGACAGTCACACTAGACTAGTTCGACCGTCGATTTCGACGATGTCCACCGTGTGCCCCACAGACTGCCTTGTGGGAGCAGGGACGGTGACTAACGCAGGGGTTTATAGTGCCAGTAGACTTGCGTAGCATCTACCTACACTCTCTCCTCCTCCCCCGCCTGGGCCCGGTGTCAAGACAGAGTCAAGAAGACCGGAGACGAGGGAGGCCGCAGGTGGATGGCTCGGACAGTCACACTAAACTAGTAGACGCGACAGGACAAACATTGACGAGCGGACCATTGACGTGTGAGTAGGGACGCGGGCAGGGAGTCATGCTGGGTTCTGAGCCGGGAGGGTAGGAAAGGGAGGGGGGGAGAGAACAGTTACGGCTCCCCGTGTGGGAGGGGAGGGAGAATGGTAGGTTGGTAGAACTGCGGGCACCTGGATTAGCGGCCACTGATGCGGCATGGGCTCGGCTTTGTGAGGCGAGATCTTAGGCCCTCATAATGGGCGTCTAGGTCAACGTGGCGGTTGATGCTGTCCGCGTTAGAGTGCCATGCCTCTAGGAATTCTCTCGCCCGCTGGGGCAATTGGAACACGGGATGCGATAGATGACGTTAGTCTTTGGGGATAGAACCCTTTATTTGAGTTAAGACTGTGCGCGGCGAGGACGCATGCTTGTGTCTAGAGCATGAGTAAGGCTCACGCTTTGAATTACGATGATTATGTTTATCGAGTTTTATCTGAGGTTAGGTTATGAGAGTTCGTTTTAGGGTCAGAGCTGGTGTTAGGAGAGTAAGCAAGTAGGACCGACTTGTTAGGCGCCCCAAAAAGGACATGAGAACAGGAAACGCCTGCAACTCGGTTGGCTTTGAGCCAACTTCCAGTGAAATTGGAGTTAGCTTAAGGGTTGGGGTTAGGCTTGATATTACGTTCAAGGCTACATTTAAAGTTGACGGCAAAGTAAGTCCGGATCAGTCTTACGGTTAAATTTTAGTAATTGAAACAGTAGGATATTTGAGCCCCAGAAAACATTTGAATTTCCGCATACTTTTGAACCAGACCCACATTTGAAAATGCACCTGTGGTTTTGAAGCAACTTGCTATATCCTTTTTATGAAGATGAAACTGCGTTTGTGACTGATTGGGGGCTTGCTGATACAAATCAGTACTTGCGTCGTGTTTGTCGCTTTCCTGAATATTTTAGATGTAAGCCATCACAATCTTTGTGG